GTGGAGCCTTGCCCGCCTTGTGCGAGTGTGAGAGTCGAAGCCCCCAACATCGCCCAAATTTAAGGTGTAGGGTTCGCCCACGCGAGGCTATCTCTTGCATAGCTGCTACAACTGAAGCTTTAGAGAGTTGAGAGGCTTGGTTGGGCGGTGGGGTGGAGACTGACGGGTTCAATTAGCAATGATGTCGGAGGGATTTGATTCAGGCCAAGGCAGGTGTTAGTGTCAGCATGGACCGAGGTTTGAAAACTTCGGTTTCGGAGCCCCTGGCTTGTGGGACTCTCAGATACTCTCAGTTTGTTGGAGCTCCGCGGTTTTCCTCTGAGACTGAATCAAAGCCCACAGAGTCCGAGGTTTGAGACCAGCGGCTTCCGGATCATGTTGCAGCCGGGTGGGCGAGCACCAGTGAGCCCTGGTCCTAGCACTTTTTTGACCATTAGCCTTGTCCAAAGCGCCCAGTGGACCCATGTCGACCCCACCCCAGCGATCGAGCTCAGGGTGGTCAGACAGCCAGCCGGCTACAGGGCAGCAGGCTGTGGACTTGTTTTAACGTAATGGGCCTGGCCGGTGCAGTGCAGATTCACCACAAGGAGCTCAAGTACAGCAAAGTCATTTCCAGCGATGGGAGATACTCAGCAAGCCTCAGCTGCGCCTTCAACGAGGACCGGTGCATCTCGCAGATCCAAGCACCTGCTTAGCAAGATGTGTTGCTGTACTTATACGATATAGTCGCTGAAGTTTCGAAAATTTAACTAGCGAGGATTTGAGCCTGTCGGATCCCCGGACACCTTCCGGACTCGTGCAGCTCTTGTGCCATTTTGTACTTGCGAGAGGTTCTTGTGCTATTTTGGTCGCACGAGAAAGGCTGGGGCCGGTAAGCTTTGCTGAGGCCCATACCAGGTCCGATCCCAGAGACGCTGGGAGCTTGGAGCCCACACAAGGTCACAGGACGCAGGATCGCGGATCTGACGGAGCCTGTGACAGGCTTTGCGTTGATGTTTGGCTAGAGAGCCGTACTTTCGTGGAGCGCTTGGACAGCTTCTTGCACATGGCCGCGGGCTTAGGTGAACGCAAGCATGAGGTCAGTGATTGAGTGTTCCTGGATATTGCGAATCGCGCAGCAGGGCCCGAATGCGCGACGCGCGCCCAAGTTCATGCTGCAACCGGCTGTGACCGCTCCAAGACTCGGCATCGGCTGCACAAGGGAAGTCCGGCATGATGCGCCGCACGCGCTTGCTCGGAGAGCCGTGCCTTGGCTCCGCGAAGAGCTTGGCGACAGCAGACGCCAAGATCTTCGCATAGGCCGCAAAAGCAAGAAGGGTCGAGGAAGATCTGCTGAGGCCATCTTGAAGTCGCTTTTTGACTTGGGACCTCATCCTCCACAAGCAGCGGTTTTCAGTGCTTGTTGGCCTGGTTTGGCCTCCTGGGAACGCAATCCGAAGGCAGCCACTGCGGTCTTAGCAGGACTTGGCAAGCGCGGTCTGTGGGATGTGGCTTTGAAGGTCACCCGGTTCATGCAGCATCACAGCCTGGACGTCAACTGCTTCCATTATACCAGCGTCATCAGTGCATGTGAGAAGCGAGGGAAGTGGAAGATCGCATTGACGCTTCTAGGCAGCATGAAGGAAGAGGAAGTGTTCCCAAGCGAAGTGTCGTACAACGCCGCCATAAGTGCTTGCGCCAAAGGGGGCGAGTGGTCCGTAGCACTCGAGCTTTTGAAGGAAATGCGCCTGGATGATGTCATGCCGGATTGCGTCTCGTACAATGCCGCTTCCAGCGCATGTGCATCAGCCGGCCTTTGGAATTCGTCTTTGCATCTGCTGCAAGAAATGTGCACAACCACGGTGCCACCGAGTGTAATTACGTTCAGTACTCTTCTCAGTGCATGTGAGAAAGGCAAGCAGTGGCAGATGGCTATCAGCATACTGTTTCATCCGCCCGTGCCGGCATTAAAGCCAGATAAGATCTGCTTCACAGCAGTGATCAGTGCCTGTGAGAAGGCCAGAGAATGGGAGAAAGCACTTTTGTGTTTTCGAGACATGGACACTCGAGACCTGCAGAAAGATGAAATTTGCTTTCACAGCGTCATCAGCTCTTGCATACGTGGTCGGGCATGGAGCCAAGCATTGAGCCTTGCTTTAGACATGGAGGCGCTGCCTCTGGCGGTGAATGGGATCTTGTGGGGTGGTGTGGCCACGGCCATGCAGCAAAGCGGGCAGCCGATCGCTCAACTAACTAGCCGGCTACGCAAGAAGTGGGCGCGGCAACAGGGCTCCCATAGCTCGCTCCTACGAGCCCTGCCGAGAATCGGAGAGTCCCAAGAGCACGAGGTACACGTGCTCGATCAGGCTGAGGGGCTGCTGGCTGCTTTCAAGCCCACGGGGCTGAGCACCGAGGCGGCCCTACAAAGGCTCTTGCATCTTCTCACCCAAGAGGGCTACACTGGGGAACTCTCCCGCGCTTCACGACTGGACGGCCGGGGACTCGCTTCGGAGCGCATGACGGCACCTTTTGAGATGGAATAGCTTGGTGGCTTGCCTTACAGGTGCCACCTCAGGGGTCATCCCAGTGGCTTTGGGCGAGTCCGACTCACCTGCCTCGAATTGGTTGAACTACCAATTTGCTGCGCGCATGGCCCCTGGGCGACGACTACGGGGTTGTGGGTGGAGAGCAGAGCAGCGGCGTGCACCAGTCTCTTCAGAGCCTGTTGCCGGCAAGGTATCGAAGGAGTACGTTTGCCTTTGCTCGGGTCTGCCATTGGGCGCAAGAGGCACGCGAGGCCGTCCAGAGGGAGCCGGAGTATAGGCCAACGAGCTGAACAGATTCCAAACGCCCAGTCTATTTGCCCAAACTGTTTGGAATGTGATGGTCGCAGGTGTGGTTTCCGCCGGCCTCGTGACTGAGTCCCGAGGAGCGCAGTTGAAAGTTGTGTGGGCGAGCCACGGCAAGGAGGCGGTCCTAAACGCACACCCACATCCATGAAGGGCTTGAGCTCGTTTTTGGTGATGTGCATTGAGCTGGGAAGGCTCGAACGGAGTACGAGCTGATGGTGCCTCATCTGCAATGTATGCGTAAGAGCTTGCGGCTGTTAGAAGCAGCTCAGGACTCCTTTAGCTTGCCCGAAGACATCGGTGCTGTCCATCCTGGCGCTGTTCTCTCACTTCTTCGCGTCAAGCCCCTCACAGGCCAGAGCCTATGGCCGGGAGTGGGCGTTGAGCGCGTGCTGCAGCCTCATGCAAGTTCGTTGGAGGTCGGACGCACCAGATCAGGACACACCTGGCCGGCATCGGCAGACCCATTCTTGGTGATCGCACCTATGCCGCTTGGCGAAGCTCCGGCATGCAGCCAGGATCTGTTCGGCTTCAGGCCCGTAGGTCTTGCATGAAGCGTCATCTAGAGGTGGCCTAATCTGGAAACCACCTGATGCCAAAATCTTGACTTGTTCGCACGCCTGTCTTGATCATAGCTTGCAGCAGAAGGCATCACTAGCGCGCACAGTGCATTCCGGATCCTCAGCCAAGGGTGGCCTTGCAGTCAGCTGGTGCTCGCGCCGCCTGTCACTTTAGGGATCTTTAGGGCGGATGACTAGGCTCAGGCATTCCTTCACTTCAAAACGTCTTACGGAGAAATGCCAAGCTTTCCTTCGTGTTGTGCCCGGTTCTTGTAGTGTTGTCAACAGGCCAAAGCACAAATAAATTGTAGTGCCAGGCTGCAGATGTGGGAACGTTGCTTTAGGGTGTGTCATGTGTGACCCGGCATCGCAGGGTTGCAGAGGAAGCAGACAAGGTCTCTTCCTGCACTGCCGACGAATCTCCGTTCGGGACCTTGGAAACAAGCTCTTCCAACCCGTGGCGCCGCCTGGCTAAATCGCACTCAGGGACTGCGAGAGCCACAACCTCATGTCGAAAAGATGAACATCTGGAATATAGAGGAAGAAAAGACGAAGGAAGGAAGAACACACGTATGTACATGCATGTATGTATGTATGTATGCATGCATGTATTGTGAACATGAGTGTGTCACCGAACCCACTCGTACCACGGTATACAAGCTCAAGATGTGCCCACTCACCTCCCGTCCACTTGCCAGCAAGTGGATAGAGAGGCAGGCTGGCACAGTGCTCTTGAGGGCTCCTGCTGACAGACAGCGAACACACAAGCAGGCAAATTCACTCACATTCGCCCCTCTGGTCGGTGTCTGCAGCAATCTGATTCCGAACCTGATTCAACTGCGCAAGCAACACAGTCACAAAACGGACGCGTCCCAAACAAGGACCACGACCAAGCAGTGTCCAGCACCACCCATGAGGCGGGAGGGCATGAGCCACCGCACCTCCTGGTGGGTTCCTCACACATGCACTTGGCAAAACTCTTGCCACCTGCAGGAGCCCCCAGCACATCTCGAGCAAAGCATGTCCATCTCCAAGCTGCGCAGAAAGTTCCAACTTCCTGACGAACTTGGTCTCCAGACGGCCCCTGCGTTCCTCAACAACAACAGGAAACACCGGAACAGCCAGAAACGGTGTGGTCTCTGGACAAAGTCCACATTCCGTCGAACAGCCCCCAAGTGTGAACATGAGTGTCACCGTACCCCGCTCATACCACGGTATATAAGCTCAAAATGTGCCCACTCACCTCCCGGCCACTTGCCAGGGACACAGCAAGTGGATAGGGAGGCATGCAGGCAATGTGCTCTTAAGGGCTGCTGCCGACAAACATTGTAATGTAAAATGTGTTGCAATGTGTTGTAATGCATTGTACATGTATTATAATGTCTTGTATGTGTACGTATGCATGTATGTATGTACGTATGTACGTATACACGACCTCTGGTTGTTCTCAAGGTCCTTGTCTTCGGTCTATGCAAGACCGTCCATTCGATATTTTTGTATGATGATGTACGAGTACGAGCGAAACATGCGCTCAGGCCGTTGCCTCGCCAGCTGAAATCAATTCTGGAGGATTTGCGTTCTCGCGGTGCGAGGGACAAAATTCAGACCTGCAATGCGGCTGCGCGACCCAAGCATGTTTGGTTCTAGATTCGAGAGATCGTCATTCCCCCCGATTGCTTGGCCCGACATTTACTGCCCATTCTTGCGCCTGGCCAGCAGGTCGGGCTCGGGAGCAACCTCCCCGAATTCGATCACCGCTTCCTGGGCCGCATCATGGTCAGCATTCCGAGCCACCGGCATGTACTGCCTTGGAGGATAGCCACGGCAAATCAGACCTCCATTTCTGAAAAGACCTGTCGAAATTGAGATGGGTTGGGCGACCACCAACTGTCACTGTGGGAGATTGAAAGGGTGCCGTCAGTAGAAGCATTCGGACCATCTAGATGCTGGCACACTCTCAAACATAGCGGCCGCATGGCTTGCTTCTGTCGTCGAGTGTGTGTTGTGCGCCAGGCCGTTGGATGTGGAAGCAGTCCAACAGAACTACCCGATCCAGGCGCCATGGAACCTGCAAGAAATAATGTGGTGTTGTTTCGACCGAACATAGTATGGTGACTTGAAGCAAGTGCTAGCTTCTGTTTTGGCAACAGATCCGGCATCTGAGTCTTTTCATTGTTTCGAAGTTCAATCATGAACGAGGTGCTAATCCTGGAGTTTCCTTACCAGCAGCTGTGAATGTGCCCGTCTGCTTTGGCACCTGCGCACTTTGCAGAGCAGGTTAGCAAGCTTTGCGACGGGCCCCGGCCGAAGCTCCTGCAGCATCCTCAGCTGCCTTAGCTACGTGTTCGATCGATGGGGTTTCCGGACTCCGAAGCTTCATCGTCGCCCTCAATTGGACTTCAAACTTAGTCCTTCATGGGTGTTCAGGTCCGTTGGCATGCAGTGGGCGTGTGACCGCCCAGATTGAGGAGTGGCGGTCGACGAACCTGCCTGTCCCCAAATTCAAAAAGCAAGCTTGTAGCTCGAATGCCCAATGCGGCGAACGAATTGGCAGATCTCGCATAGCACATGACCGCTCTCGATGATCACGAAGCCGGCACCTACAGTACCTGTTGTATTTCTCCCAGACTCGACTGCAGTCTGATTGCGGCTGGCCGGCGAGGATCTGCCTGAAACACTTAGCAAATGGTATTCTCAAAAGTCGAGATGCTGTCTAGCGTTTTCCGGAATAGGCTCCGACTGCAAATGCCGCGACACACAACTCAGCAGCTGCTGCAAAGAACTGGCATGCGCACATGGGGTACCGACACGACGATGTAGTAATTAGTGCGTGGTGGTGTTGGTGGTGGCGGTGTGGACGTAGTAGTAGTAGTGCACTGTCCTGAGCATGTGGCGACTGAGCATGACTGAAGGCATTTCTCGCGGTCCTCGACGCTCCCTAGCCTCTGAGCTGTTCCCGACCTCTGAGATCGAATCCTAAATTTGGCTTGTAATGTCAGACTGCCGTCAGACCCGCACGAACAACTGCGTCTTTGCCGTTGGGCTTGAGCTTCGGTGGAACTGAGCGGCCCCGCGCATTTCTTTCTGGTCACTTTTTGCTTCAATTCCGCTGGGACCTCAGACGCACGGCTTCGTCAGCTTCGAAGACACTATTGGCTGCCAGCTTTGTAGCTGAAGCTTGATACAAGACTGGAGCAGATGCTTAAGCCGGGATGCTCAGGGTATGGGCAACTCCGCCTGCTGCACCGGTGCCGAGGCAAGGGTTAGAAGGAGCTCAGTTGCGGCCCGGGTACCATTGAAAGCAAAATGAATCTACGAGAGCCAGCCGACAAGCATGACAGTATCCCTTGCCAACTGTAACACGCGCGAATCGTCTGCGCCGTTTTCGGGGACCCAACAATTAAAGTTCAAGTAAGTTGTGAGAGGGGTAGGTGTCAATGCATCTTGCAGGCCTTTGTCAAGTTTTTTCCAACCCTGACTTTTTGCAGGCTAGCGCCGAGAATGAGCAGAAAGAGCTCACTCGCAAGGACTGGGACGGCTCGCGAAGCTTTGGCTTTCATTGGAGCAATGCTGGTACCTTCTATGTTCAAGGAGGCAGTCCCCGGTGCTCCTGATCTTCCAGGACAGGTTGAATAGTCAGCCGCATCTTATGGCATGTCGAAGTCAGCAAGGCTCCCTAAACTTGCTCGCTAGGCCCGGATGTGAGCGCACCGATGGCCGCTCAGGTGGCCTTTCTGCCTGCCTCATGGGTTTGCGGTGCTGGCACGGCGGCCAGAATCCTCACCAGGCGTCCCCCGGCGAGTATGTCATCCAGCTTGACAGGAAAGCAGGAGGCCGCTTAGGCATCGACGTGGACCACAAGGCCACGCAGATTGAATGACATCTATCGGAATCTATCGCTAACCCTGTGAAGCACGTAACCCGGATGCAAGACAAGTAGAAAACCGCAGACACACTTCCGCTCCGTCTGGGAAGGGTCACGCATGGATTATACTCGTGTGACACTCCCCGAGATTTCCTGGACTGAAATGTCATTTTGGGCTGGCTTCCATTCGTGAGCTGTTTGTTTTCGAGACCTTATGCAAATTACCAGACGCGGAGGGCAAATCCAACACCACTCCAAGAATGAATGACACCTTCTTTTGCCCGGGACCAGAGCATGGTGGTGTGTCACAGGATGGTGAGACGCTCCTCATTGAAGTTATCAACGAGGGCCTCGTCATGGAACTGAGCTTAGCTCCGGCTCTACGTTACTTGAGTAGCAGCTTGTTGACTGACTGCTTGTAACTGCTTGTGTCGAAAAATACCAAGGACTGGAACAATGCCAACAAGAAGGCCTTTGTGTTGAAACCAGCAGAGCGACTTCCTGAATCTCCAAACATTCAGTGGCTCTTTGCAAGTGGTGCCCTTGCGAGTGCGTGTCGCAGGTTGTCCTTTAGGCCGAGTTTGAACGAAGGTTGATGAAGCCGACGAATTTCAGCCATTCCGCTCCCGCCAGTGGCAGGACAAGGTGACGGTCGGGGACCGAATCGTTGAAGTCAACGGCATCAACTCCGACGCGAGCTTAGTTGCTTGTTAGCTTTTCTATGGCGACGCATCGATGGATGCTCCTCTTAAGACAGCTAGCTATGTTGCATGCAGATATACAGAATTCTGTTCTGGGGCACCGGCGAATGTGCGATCCTTCAGTAGAAACTTTGCCGTTTAGTATCTCCCCGCCGTCCCCCTCCATGCACATTCGTTTGTATTATAGTGTCTTAGTTTCTTTGATATCGACTAGGTGTTGTTCCCGGCGAATCTAACGATTTAACCATCTCGGACTGCTCCCCAACCTGATCCATCCTGATCCTTTGTTTCTGGGTTCGGTTGTGGACGAGCTGCATCAGACAATGGCAGGTGAGGGAAGCATTCCCACAGAAATGAGGTATGCTAGGTTACGTGGTTACCCGTACTCTCACCTTACACCCCCAGCGGCTTCCTGCTATTTTGTGCCGGGTTGACTGAGTTGCATGTAGACAAAACAAAGTCGTGGTTCCAGAGCCGTGATGACACTGAGGACGTGCTTCAGCTTGTTGACGAGTGCAAAAAGAATCAGGCGCAGAGCGTGGTTGCGGTCGGAGCTTAGCCGGAATCGAATCCGATTGCAGTCGTCGCGGTCATAGGGTTTTTGTGATCGGCGGTTTGGCCGCACGGTGGCTACCTTGCATCTTTCGCGTTTCGCAATGGACACTTCAAGGTGCTAATTCCTCGCCATCTACAGGGGATGTTATTCTGGCTAGGCAAAGGGTAATTCTACAATGTGGCATTCCACGTCCCGGTTCACCAGTTGTAATTTGTAATCAAGTCTGTGATGAGCATGCTGCGTCTTACAGCTTACACACCCTGGTGAGGTGTTGGTCCTGAAGCTGCGGCGCGGGCGAGGGACCCAACTTCCCGTCACATCCAGCTTGTGTTGGAAAGCTGTGTTTGTGCAGCCACTGCATTGATTGATGCCGTCTCAATGATGCCACCTGCCCACGCTCGCAGGCAGTAGACTAGACGTGTGCTACCTCGTCGCATGCGGGAGCATCCGGAGCCCAGGCTGCTTCAAAACATTCACGGCCGTTTGCTAGCACTGCGCTTTCTCGAGGCGATGCACGTATTCATGCGTTTTGCAACCTGAGACGATGCATCCTGACGCTGAATTCTGGGCAGTAGAGTCGACAATCACCGCACAGCTGATGCTTTTCAATCTGGGCACCGACTTGTGAATTGTCGTGACTCCAAGTCTTAAAGTTCATCGGAAAACACCAGAGTACACTGTCAGAATTGCGCGAAGTCGTATGAAACTCGCAGGTGCCAGGCCAGCTGCAGCAATGGCTGTCAGTTGGTCCAATTTCGGCTGAATGCCCGAACAGATGCAGGTCATGGCGTGTCCCGGTGCAAACACCTAGCCTAGGGCCTACAGAAAACCGAAAGCCTTAGTTGTACCATTGTACCACATCGCTGCGGAAGACCGCTTCGCGAAGCGGACATGTGTGGACATGCCGGGCCTTGTTGGAACTGGAGGAAGTGGACCCTCGAGGCACCAGGGCCAGCCCAGAGTCAGACTGTGCTATCTGCTACCTCTTTCTCGACCTTCGAGTCCACGCCGCAACCCGTGTGTTAATTCACTTTCTGGAGCTTCAACGCCAGGCAGACACTCTGCGATCTTTGCCTGGCCGTAAGGAGCAAAAAGCTGCTAAGCAGAGCCCCACCTTTGTTGAAGCAGAACCCATCAAACTGCGCCGCAGTCTTGGCTCAGTGGAGGTCCGGCCAAGAGTGCTTTGAAGAATGCTCGCCTCCCGGGGTGTCGGCTTCATCGCATTGAACATCCAGCTGCTCAGCTTGTGAGAGGCGAGGAAGCTTTATGCACGTCTTTCGACCCCCTTCCCAAGGTGTGAGAACGAGGAGAAGTGGTTTCGCAGATGGGAGCAAGAGAGAGCAGAGATGCAAAAGGCCGAAGCAGAGGCGGGAAGTCCGGGAAGTGAGCGGAGTCTGCGCCGCAAGTCGAGAGTCAATCGAAACCACCCTTTCGAGTGGATGCTGCTTCTGCGGAACATGAATGTTCGAAGCTTGTGACAAGGCAATGGCCAAAATGGAGGCGCTGCTGCAGAGTCAGAAATCCGAAGCTGATGAAACGAAGAGTGCCTCTGAGAAGAGTCGGCCACCCACCGGCTCGGTCAAGTCCGGGAAGTCGGCGAAGTCGACCTCCTGAAGATTTTTGAGGGCCTCAGAAGGTTTCAGTAGGGAGTGGCGCCGTGACGGCCACACAGAGCATGAGGCTGGGCGGCAGACGTGAGAACCATCGTTGAGCTTTCCCACAGAACTATAGTTACTAGTTACTAGTTCTTTAGTTTAGCTCTGCCCGTGATGGTGCCTCCAAGCATTCCAATTCAAGTCTGCAGCTGCCCATCCTCCATGACGGCTTCTGCCCTGGTGGGTTTAAGCTTCGCTGTGCATAGTTTGCTATCCAGGCAGCAAAAGCTCCTGGGCTGAGCTTCCAGTTCGCATGCTGCACAGAATCAGATTCAGATGCAGACGTCCCATTTCAAATCTACCGTGCTTGTCCACCACTACCCCAAAATTTCTGTGCATCACTACCGCCTACTGTAAATGCAAGCCGTTGACGCAAGCACGTTGTGCCCGTGACGCTCGAAAGTACTTGCCGTTGCTGCAGCTTGCCGATGGAAACTTTCAAGATGTGCGCAAGTGGTATGGTAGATGGTGTCACTCTTGGACGTGTTGTTCCAGCTTCATGTGGTGGCAGCTGAACCTCTCCACCAGAGTTCCTTCTGTCATGGTCGGGTTTCGATTGCTTTGGTGCGAGCCTGATACTGTGGATGGAGGAAATTTTGCACCATTGAAAAAAACCAACAGCGCCAGTGCCCCTTGCCCCCTGTTTAACATTGATGTCCAGTCCTGCGAAGGTCGATGGGTTCCACTGACGAAATCGTGCGCCAGCCACACGGGACTGTATCGTCAAAATTTTAACAGGGGGTGTGGGGTGCTGGTGATGGGCGGGGACATGAGTTGGCATCTGGGCCGTGCACGATTTCCTCCATCCACCGATGCCGTCAGCATTTGCATCTGTCTGTCTTGCAGCAATGGCAGCTGCCAACGGCAGATTGAAATGCAGTGGGCCAGGGGTGTAAACAGGGAGCAAGTTCACCACATGTAAGGCTTGCAACCACCTGCTACCCGCAAAGATATCGCAGAGGTAGATAAGTGTTGGCTGGTTGCCAGGTGGGGTTAGACATGGAGCTTGTCAGAAGAGTGGATCTCGAAGCAGAGCACAAGACGGAAATCATGTGTGCACAATGCCCGATATAGGCAGTTAGTAGGAGGGAAGCAGCATGTGTTCAACTGTGCGCACGGGCTTGCCAGCCATTGGGTAGAAGGGAGACAGGCGCAGTGCTTTGCAGTGAAGATGCTGCAGCGCGGCACCCCGCACAGCCGACCCGATTGCAAAGGTGATGTGGAATGAGTCAGATGAGTCAGAACGAGTCAGAATTGGTAACGAGCCTTTGTGCAGAGAACTGGGCTGCCGGGAGTGGGGGCATGGAAAGTCGTGGTGAAAGAGATCTCTAAAGGTATCCTGGGTGTTTCTTTCGCACCAGGGGGCGGTCCAAGCCAGCGGAGTTCCTCAGCACGCGCCGGACTCAAATGCGCAATTAGGAATATCATCTGCAGCCCAACAAGTTGCCCACGGTTTCTAGCAGCAGTTACGACCGAAAGCGTGAGTAACCTCGAGCGGTTTACGATGCCATGTCTACTCAAGCACTTCTCAAGCCCTCCGTAGTGTTTATTGTACATCATTGAGAAACCTCTTTTCAGGTCGCTGTTTTCATTAGAGCCCGGCGTTGACTGAAGCTCGTTGGTATGGGCAGTCTCGTTGGTATGGTGTAAATCAGTTGCTAAAACAGACAAAGGCAACAGGACGGTCGAGCTAACACACAGATACAGTTTAGTTGGATGCTGTCTTCCGGGTGTTTCTAACTGGCGACGAGCTCTTCTTTTATCGAGTGATCACGAGTATACTTTGCGTTATGCTGCAATCTATTGAATGTGTTTCTGCTTGACCAAGAAGCACATCGCTACCTCTGCAAGGCATGCCCTTTTCAGGGACAGAGTTTCACCTCCATCTCGTTGTGCGTTGGCTGCCTATCCTCATGTCATGTTTGCATGGGGCTGGGTTTCCGGGTTCCAGTGGTTACCGTTTTTTCTGTGTTCAGTGTTTGCCCCTCCATGGTCGTTTAGAGTTTGGTTGTTGGGAATCAGCCGCGTTTATTGGAATGTCGAGTTTCCAACCTACGTATTATCTGCATTCTGGAGTTGCGAAGAATGCGCATGATGATGATGGTGATGATGCTGCTGCTGATATGATGATGATGATGATGATGTCGATCCATGATTTCGTGTTGTCATTTGCGATTTTCGGTAACCGTTCACTCATGTTAGGGCTCAGCACATCATCCATTTCCAAAGTTTTGGGTTTAGGAGTTTCTTAGCGTTCCGCAACGCGAGGCCTGGCTGCAAACAGGGTTTGGCACCCACCTTCTCTTATCACCGGCACTTGAGAACCGGTTTCTACTTGTGTTTGAAGAGTTCGCCCCCGTGTTTGGGAACAACTTTTCCTGTTTCGGGTGTGGTGCTTGCTGCTGTTTTGGGGTTTAGGGTGTGGCACCCATCATCTCCTTCAGAGGCTTTGGGCTCCGGGTCCAACATCTCTTGTTGGTGCTTGGGATTTGTTCGGAGCAGCTGTCAGGGTTTCGGGCCCCGTTTAGGGTTTTAGGTTTGCCACGAGTCATCTTCTAACGGTTTCGGCTTGTAGGGTTTGCCACTCATCACTTCTTGTGAGAAGTTGTTGTGCTTGGGAGCCAGTTTCCCGTCGTTTCGAGTCTAGGGTTTGCCGCCCGGCATGCCGTACTTCCAGTGTGGACCTGGTCACTCGTTCTAGACTTAAGAGTTTGGCACCCATTATCTCCTTTACGGGTTTCGGGTTTGGGCCCAGCAGCCCCTATTGAATTATTGGGGTTTGGGTTTCCTGGGAAGCAGTCGCCCCTGGTAGGGTTTGATGCTTTCCAAACGTCACTCCTTTAGAAGTTGCCCCCCACATCATCTGCTATGTTGAACGCCCACCAGCACTCAACGCAAATGATCCGGCATGACTACTGTACCCCTACCACAACCCTAAGAGATTGGAAGGAAGGCACCAGTCTCGCCAGCACGGATACCGGCTTTGAGAGCTGCAGTTAAGTTCAACAACCTGCTAGGCTTACGGGTTTTGTGGTAACCGGTCATCCGAACTACTCAGTTCTTGGGGAGCATTCATCTCTGGTGTTGGAACGAACCCATTGATTCTTTGCAGCCTATGAGGGGGGGAGGAGGGAGGGGGAGGTGCTGCTGACCGCCATCGCCGGCTGCAAAGTCGCACACAATGCGCAAGATGTGGTCATACCCAGGGGACAGGAGGGCAGAAGAGGCGGCTTTTTGGTCACTGCAGCGAAAATCGCTGGACTTGGGGCCTCGTAATGGGTCCAGAGGATGGCGGGATGGGGCAGATCACTGGAGAGGGGACCAAGAAACAAGGCTCTGACCGCTTCGCCTGGGCCGAGGCGAATGTGTGGTCCAATGCTTCTGAGCTGATTCTGATAGCTTATTTAGGAACCAATCGCCGCTCTTAGGGTTAAGGATTCAGGGTTCGTCACACCACTCACCCGCCTCAGCGAGTTGGGTTTTGCTAGCCATCAGGCCTTGTTGGGTCGGGGGATGTTCGAGAATCAGTCACCCGCTTTTAGGTTCCGGGTAGCGTTAACACCGTCTCGAACTAGACTTCGAGGCCAGCAAGCAAGCCGGAAAACACGAGCCTCATTGAGCTTGTGTGCTCCAGAAAACGCGAAGCAACAACTCATCACGACCAAAGAACTTGCTCATCAAGCATGTTGCAAAGTTGCACTGCTGCTTCACCGCCTTGGCCTGCACGAAGAAATTCCGAGGCCAGCGAGGCAAGCGAGGCGGCTGTCGCAGGGCAGCGCTCCGGGCAGCAGCCCAGCGTGGCAGGCGACGTCCCGCTTGAAGTTGCGAGAGAGTCCTAGTTTGGGAAGAAAGGCAGATGGTCTTCTTGCAAGTTTTCGTCCTCCCCTTTCGGTGGCTTCAGTGAAACCAAAGTGGCACTAGCAGCTTTTCGAGCTCAGCCGGCTAACAGAAAAGAGCTGCAGGTCCTTCGTGTCAGTGTCAATCGAGCAACCAGCGCCAGCGCCAGCTGCGAAACTCCATCAAGTGATGTCCCGGCAGCGAGAGAGCGGTTGTGTGTCGCCCACAGCACCGCGCTTATGAAGTAGCGGGCCCGGGCCCACGGGAGGGGAGGCTGACTTCTGGGCCCACCCCTAAGCCGTGTCTACACTCTAGACTCTACTCTGGGCACGCTATCTGTGCACGCCGAGCTCAATGAAAGAGAGACGGAGGCAAAAAAGCAACATACCGCGTCGAAAGTTGCAATAATGTCTCACCGAGCCCAGCAGAGCAACGGGCATCCAGAACTCTCAGCGGCGAATTGGTGAAGTTGTTTTCACGGGAGAAGACTTTACAGACGCGGTCTCCACCATCTGTCAGAAATGACTGTGCCAGGTGCAGAGTCCGATGGCTATTGACGACCAGGTCCCCTGTTGAATTTGGGATGGGTCTCGGGATCGCAGAGCTTCAGCTGAATGTGCCGCACCTCGTGCACTGCTGTCCTTCGAGCGACTCCAGGTCTTTGGCCAGTTCGCTACTCCGGAGACGCTGCCACAAAAAGGCTGAACTGCATACAGGGGTTTCGCATGATTTCGTGCTCGGCTTGAGCCGCGAAGAGCTATGAGACAGAAAGGATCCCTAATCATACTATGCGACCCAGCGCTTTATGCTACATCTCATACGCCTCTGAGTTTAGCCATGAGCCACAAGCTTGAAGAGTGGGATGATGCGTCGGCAGACGCAGGAAAGCTCAGCATGGGACCATCGCATGAAGCCCAGAGTGGAACTTCAAAGCGCGCTTGACCTGTCGCAAAGGTAGAGCACGATGCTCCCTTCACGCGTTGCTATCTCGTGGGCTCACACGCAGGGATAGGGAACTCCGCAGAGCCATGACTGAGCCCAAGAGCGGGAGCCATGACGATGTCTTGCAGACATCAGAGGCATCAGACCGCGCCACGACCATTCAGGACACTCCACTAGAATCTGAAGGGCCTTCCCGGGAGGAGGAGACTGAGACGAATGAGGCGGTTCGGCGGAGTCCCAACCGAAGGGTTTCAATAATTTCGAAGATGGGTGAGCTGGGCGGAGCACTGGCCCAGACCGCGGCGACAGCCGCAGCGACCACTGCGCGGCAGACGGCTGTGACCATGACGACTCTGACGACTCTCGCCGGCGGCGTCAGCGAGTACACCGACAACATGTTCGCACCGACCACATCCAAGGGCCTAGCCAAGCATGTTCAAACGGATGAGGCAAGCTTTAACCTGTTCCTGGACCAGGTGATTAAAGCACATGTGGAAGGCGGGGCCGATCCACGACATCGGCGAGGAAAGGATAAGCGCGACTTGACCGGCATTCTCGAAGGCGATGTGTCTGGAGGAGTCTTGTCAGAATGGGTTTAGGGGCGGTTCTTTGTTTATGTTTTCCAGATGCGACTGCAGCAGGCAGGCCAGGGCTCCAAACTCTTAGTTGGGAATTCAAAGGCCGGCCCGCAAGGTGATATGCCAGGCTCTTGCTCCAGATGGGCACATATGGGCTTTATAAACTTTCGAAAGAAAACGCGCAAAGAGACATGTTGACGAGCTTCTGTTGCTAGTGCTTTCTTGCTTGCTGCATTCGAACTGCGGTAGTGAACCAGAGCCTGAACTTTCTGTGTCCCTGTCGGGCTTGTCTTGTGGCGAGATGCGGCTGTAAACACACAAAGGCAAGGCCGCCACTCATTCTGGGCAGGTTGTGTGTTCGTAGGGCATCCGTTTCAGATAGCGCATGGGACCGGGGAAGTACATGCCTTGTGGGGCAGCAAGGATTCTTCCAAAGATGTCCTCGGACACAAGCCCTTTGCTACAAGTTCTGCGTCCGAGCTGAACACTCGGTGCTTTTCGGGCTATTTTGCTGGGCCTTCCTCCTGCTGCACTGCATCGCACTTGTACAGGTTGCCAACAAAGCAGGGAGCGAAGAGTTCTGGTACACTGTATCGGAGAGCTACATGGCTTTCTTCATCCTCGAGTTGATTGTTCGTATTGCTGCGGCCCCAAACCGCTATTTCTGGCAATCTGGTTTCGTAGTGCTTGACATTGTCCTTGTGCTGGCCTCCGTCGTAGAAGCATTGCTACCATCAATCTCGGATCAGTTTTCGCGAGGCCAGTTCACGCTACTGATCTTGCATGTTCTTCGCTTTCTCAGGGGCCTTCAGTCGCTGAATATGCCCGAATCAGCCAGTGCTGTCACGGCTTGCTTCGGCGGCCTGCTTCCGGTGTTCGTCTTTGTCCTCCTTGGATGCATTTGGAGTTTCCTGGCAATTGTTTGGTATCTCGTCTTCAACAACACCACCACCCAGCCCATCCAATTCAGCGACTTCGGATCCTCTGTGCTGACCCAGTTCTATCTGGCCTGCCATGGAACGGACTGGGACCGCATTACTTCGCAACTTACCGCGGAAGGAACTCAGACCGCCTCAGCCATTGCGCTAGCGTTTGGCATCGTCCTTACATCGGTTGTCTTCTTTACAGCCAATGCGGCCGTTATCCTGTTTCACGAGCTTGCTGATAAGGGGATTGCGGAATACCGCGAGTACGATCGGTCCCAGCAGATGAGGAGGAGGCTGCTGGGCCTCCACCGGTTTGAGCATTCGTTGAAAGCTGCTGCATGCCGAAATGGTGGAGTAACAGACGACTCTTGGGCTGAGTGGCTGATGCAATCCCGGAGCAGGCTTGAGAGTACCCTCGAGGAGCTTCAGAACAACGAGCTCCGAGTTCTGAGTCTGTCAGTGACTGAAATCCTCCAGCTCTACGATCACTTGTTCGAGGTTTGGATGGTAACCCGAGTGTTTGTAGTAGTGGGGCTGAACCACGGCCCTGAGATCTCAATAGCAGGGTCAGCATGTCACGGCCACGAGGGCTCAGTGCCGAGTATTTCGGGAGGTCAACCACGGAGATTGCAGAGTTTCAGAGCTGCTTTTCGGGATCCTTCGCATGATCAGCCCGGCGGAGGTGGCCGAGTTTCTGCAGGTGGGGCCTGCTGAAACGTTTGGCCCCAGGTCTCTAAGTCTGTCTTCTCCTAGGCTTGTTCATGTTGTGCTGTTTCAGGTGGACCACTTGCAGAAGCAATGCCACTTGATCTTATTGGTGGAGAGGGGACTTCCTGTCATTCAGGTTTGGAGACCGTCTGAAGAACGCACACTCGGCAGAACAGGTGGATTTCGTGAGCGATCGATCTGGCGATGTTCATGAGCGAAGAGCCGTTGTGTCACTAGTGACCGCTAGTTACCGCTAGTTCTGAAGGTACACAGGTCGCCGAGGCCGCAGCGATCAAAATTGAGCGTGAGGTCGAAACCAGCCGATCCTCGGCTCGAAAGGCATTTCCATTTTGAAAAGAGATCCATTGAGTCTCTTGCCGTGACGATCTCTTCAGTTTCTTCGTCACTCTGAGGACAGCATCTTGATGTCATGGAACAAAGTGTCTCGAGACTTCGGACGCAGCTCCAGAAGCTGCGATCGCAAGCAGGCACAGCGAAGCAGGAGCCCGGGCCTGCCTTTTTGCACATGGTTTCGGGCATGGACAACACGAGTTACACAGGAGCTGAAAGGAATGGTCTCGGAGGTCGAGCAGCAGTACCAGGATTGCATTGATAGTGTCAACCAGGCGCCGTCACCCGATTCCATGTCTCTTGACGATAAGGCTGCTACTTACTGTTGTAATCGCAAATCCTGAAGATTGCCTCCGTGCATGTTGCGAAGACAGCTGCAGCAAGTTCGAGTGTAACGCTACATGAACTCGCTCTTCCTTGCGAAGGCAGCATCCATACGACGGCTCCACCTCCAACTCACGCACAAGAACTCCCGGCAGGAGGTCTTCAACGAAGTCTACGATGCACAGAGGCCTTGGGCGTAGGGCGCTGGGAACCTGCCACATGTTTCTCGCAGCAGCCCAGGTCTCTGTCACGGCTCTACTATTTCAACCACTACTGCACTGCCTTCGGGTTCCCTTCGGTGGGTTCCGAAGCGGCTTGGGCTCAGGCAGCCGAGGCCTCGACTCGGGGCTTCGGAGGGGGAGGGCGCCGTTTTGACTTTCCCCACCGGCAGGACTCGAGGCGCGCCTTCGGCGACTCCCGGCACTTCGACAAAACGACTAGACTTCTGCAAGCCGAAGTCAAGAAACGTGTCGAGACCAGATTGAAGGAGCACTTGAAGTTGCGCACAGACCCGGCGCGCATCACGTAGCTAGAAGTGGATACTGGATACGTTTCACGCGGCGGGTAAGATGCCTGCTATGTTAGTACATGTTAGTACCCAGCGGCAAAGAAAGAGGCCAGATTTGAGAAAAGAAGAAGCCGTCAACTTGAAGGCCAGTTCTCGAGGCCTCGGGGTGATTCTGTGGAAAAAGTGCCAAGTTGGAAAGAAGCGTGCCGAGGCAGCGGGGCAGCCCTGCTGCCATGCTCTTTTCCACACCGGGGTCGGGAGGTGTGGTGTTTCAGCTATTTACAACCGCTCTGTGCGAAGATTTGACTATGACTGGATCAGGTGTGACGCCATGCAAACCCATCTCCACGCTCCGGGCTGAGAATGCGTGTCGTTGCTCTGTGGGACGTAGCTTCGGCATGGCATGGCTTTACGCAGCTACCGAGGCCGTCCAGACTTATTGACATTAGAACTCCCTTGAGACCATGCTCGAGGCAACGAAGCAAGGACCGAACCACAGGGATGCGGGACGGTCTCTCTACTGCATCTTTTCAGCTGCTCAGTTGTGTTTGTGGTTGGATGGCCTGTGCGTGCCAGGAGTTTCAAGACGATGTGCGAGTTGCCCTCGAAGAGCAGCAGAGTCCTGAACAATCGACAGGATTATCGAACGGCCACACTCCAGGGCCCATACATGCACTCGGCACTGAGGGTTTAGGTTCTGGTCATTGAACGCATACTGAGGTCGGCAGAGCTTCTACGTGTAGCATTGCAGTCTGTACCTCAGTATAAGAGTATAAACACATGGTCAGGCTTCTGGCAGTCTCGCTTTGCCCAGGCGTCGACACGCGTGTCCGCGCGATCACGTCGCATACTCAGCTGCGAGTAGCCGTCTCACTGCTGCTGTTGCTTTCAGCTGCAATCTGCTCGCACCTTGAGCCCGCATGTGTACCACGGACATGTGCTCAGGCTCTGCATGAAGCAGTTCGCCAGGCGGGATGTGCCGGCTGTGCAATCCTTCGCTGCAGAAGACTCAATTCAATTGTAAAGAATGCCGCCCCGTCTCCTCGGAACTTCAAGCAGAGACGAACTGCTCTTGGTGGAGGCAGCAGACGCGGCCCCACAGTGTCTCACTTTGGACTTTGGCCATGGCTCGTCATGCTCCCCAGTGCAGACTGCGTGCTGGACTGCTTTGTCTGCTCTCTGGCATTTGTGCTTTCGTTTGTTCAAAATGGGACAGTTCTTTCATTGTGCACACAGCTCAGTATGGCAGGGGCAGCATGCAAAGCGGTGATTTCGTGAAACCGAACTCCGACAAGCCGAAGGGTGTGGTGATGTTGATTCACGGCGGCTTTTGGAAGGCAGGTTTCGACCGAAGCCTAATGATCGACATCTCAGACGACTTACTCGGCAGTGGTTTATGCGTGTGGAACGTGGATTATCGGTCCGTTGGCTCTGGCGGCGGCTATCCGAGCACCCTGGAAGACGTGGCCTCTGCTTTCAACTGGCTCGGTAGCGATGAAGCTGTCTCACTGGGAGTTCACCCAAATCTCCCGGTAGGAATAGTCGGGCACTCCGCAGGGGGCCATTTAGCAGCCTGGCTGGCCATCCAGGGCCTTCTGGACCGCTCCGACTTCGACCTGTCGGGTGACATCAAACCGCGGATCGTGGTCGCGCAAGCGGGTGTTCTAGATCTGAAGGGAGCTTATGAGGCGAATCTCGGCAGAAGTGCCGTCCGCGACTTCATGGGCACCCCGCCAGCATCCGCAGCTTCTCGCATGTTGGCTGCTTCCAACGGTGCTGTGTTGGACATCGTTGCAAGCCCGGCAGATGATGCTGATCTGCGTTACTCGAGGGCCGATCCGACAGAGCTTTTGAGAAAGGTATCTGCTGCACGGCTGACATCTGGCGCGCCCGTCTTTGCACTTGTCCATGGTCAGGGCGATGACATAGTACCAACTGCTCAAAGTGTGGCCTTTCAATCGGCGCTGCGACAGTGCAATGGTTCAGATCAGTGCATTTGCAACCTAATCCGTGGAGAGGGTCACTTCGAGCATTTGCACCCAGATTCTGCGGCTTGGGCATCAACAGCTCATCTCTTGAAAACACAGCTTGCCAGCTCCGGCACATGACCTGGGCGAGCCAAAAACAACTGCCTTTCGGCTTTGCACTGCCCCGGTGCTGCTCAGGATGGATCTGCTCAGGACACAGGGACCAACGACCCCATTGACTGGAGTTGAATTATGTTGAATTGGGTGGCCCGGTGTGTTGTGGATCGCTGCAGATCAAAAGTAGAACCGAGCTGAATAAGCTTATTGTATCTCGCTTGCTACTTGTGTAGCATTGTAATTTTGAGCTTCGTCTTCATAACCGATGCTAGCCAGTCGAACATGCTGCTGGAGGAGGGGCCATGTCAGGTTTCAGTTTCAGCACCACGCCCGGATGCGGCTAGCAGTGCCAAATGTCAAAGTAAGTACTGCTGTAGAGTGGCGAACCTATGTCGAGCCTTATCCGTGTGGCGCTGCAGATTCACTTGCAGGGCAACTGTGCTGCGACGCGGCTCCTCTTGCAAAACATGGCCAGAGCCACAGTCCATCACACTGCAGGTCGTGCAGATTCGGAGCGTCAAGCTGCAAAAGGCATCATGAGGCAGCTTGTAGATAAGTCAAGTCGAGGTAGAAGATGAAGTGGGCCGAGGCTGAACCCAACGAGCGTTGTCGGGCATTGGAGCGGGGCTGCGAGACCGACTCTCAGGAAGTTTTCGGAGAGTATTCAAGACCTTGCCCGGGCGGCAAACAACATCAGGCTCCCATTGCAGCTTGCGCTCTCCTCCAACCTTGTACGCGCCAGCGAGCGGCAGCAGGAACGGAGACTGCATTCATGAATCTTGCAGCTCTCACCGGTGGTAGTTGCAGCATCTGACACACGTGTCTCCTGGCATGAAGAAATTTTAGTCATCAAGCTTTCAGATGGTGGAGCTCCTTCTTCAAGCGCGAGCCGATCCGGAGCTTCGGCGCAGCGATGCTGAGGCGGCTCCTCCTGGAAACAGTTTTGTCGAGCGGTGCGAATCGCAGGGCAGCCCACCTCTTCATGATGCTGTGCGTCTAGCAGATGCTGGGATCGTGGAGCTTCTTCTCAGGCCCAAGCCCGCAAGTGGAATCCGAGAGCGAGTTAAGTTATTAAGCTTCGCGGAGGCATCGAGCAGATCCCAACTCCCGCAATTCCTTCTCCGAGGTGGGTTGGCTTTGACAGGAGGATCGGCTGAAGGAGGATTAGAGACGATTAGAGCATTCTGGGGGACTGCTAGGCACCTCTGGATCTCGCGCTAGGAGGCGGTTTGCCACGCAGTGAGTTGCACATGACATCACGAGTCGCTGGCATTGACATGTGCGGCACTTGCAGGAAGCCGTTTCTTGAGCGTGGATCTGTCCTTGAGCCTGGTGGAGGCTATTGTTGTGAGCATGCTGGGAGACTTGTCTACGACTCAATCACGAATGCCTCGCAGGTCCTTTTGAAGTGGGGCGCATGTCCCACAGGGTTAAGTGCCAGCCTCGGGAAGCCTCCATGAGCTGGATGTAGCCGCCAGTGTCATGAGGTGGGGAAGCCACTTGCCAACGAACTGAAGGAGTGAAGATGCACGAAGGTTCCATTGTACACCATTGAGAGATGTTGGGAAAGCGAGTGGAGTGCTGCACCTTCGCCGCGGGCATGAATAGGCTCTCCAGTAAGTGATGATGCGGTCCCGCGCTTGAGCAATGGCAAGTTGTGGCCACCACTGCGCACTCGTTCGCCACCCTTAAGGCGCTGGTGCCTGAAATCCAAATCTTGCTGTCCAAGTGGACGGCTTGGTGGTCGGCTCAGCTTCGAACTTGGTCGCAGACACTTCCTCGCACCCTGGTATCACAGGTGGCGGCTCCGAATGCTAGCCTGGATACGCTCCAGAGGCAGGGTCGGAGCATGCAGACACATCTCAAGCAACAAAGATGCATATCGAACCCTGATCTGGGAGAGGGGCAGGTCGAGTCCGAGTTTGATGCGAGTCTCCGTGAATTGCGCAGGGCAAGATATGCGCGAGCGGAAAGCATGCCTTTCCCTGATAATTTCCCAACAGGTACCGATACTTTCCAGCAAAAGCGGAAGCAGACGACACAACTTGGCAGCCAGTACTCGTAGTTACGTAGTTGCGCAGAGCACATCCAGACGCTACAGTTGTCTCGCAGCCACGCAATCTTTGGTGTCGGCACCTTCTTCGCAAGAGTCGTGTGTCGTCGCATAAGGTATAAGATGCTTTAAGATTCCGCTGAAGCCGGAACGCTTGTCCCACTCCAGCCAACAATTCAAGTTCCGGGTTTGTCACCTAAGCCATGGTGCCCTTACATAGTTGGAATGCTACCGTTTCGCATAAGGCCGAGAAGCAGACCAAATCAAGCAAGAGAGTGGAGTTTTTGCTGACGGTCAACCTATCACTTCCCATACCTCGGCAAAGGCAGACGCCGAACAGCTAGTAAGAAAGTGCAGAAGCCAGGATGAAGAGAGACTGAATGCTGTCCTTTGCGAGCCTGTCTCCTCTCGTTCAACATGTGCTTTGGGTTCTTCGGGCAAGGCGGAACTGTTAAGCTGTGCAGGGGCCGGCCCACTCTCTGACATCATGCCAGACATCCTGAGAAAAGCTGCGGTCTCGGCAGGGTCTCGGCAAGACCAGCCAATGGTTGCAGAGCTCTCGTCACCTAAAGAATCTAAAGATAACGAAATATCACGGTGTATGTGATGCCTCGAGGGACAACACGTGGGCACCATGAGGTGGCACAATTCCTATGAGGGAAGCTTGCTGAGGGGCGTCACGATTCGTTAATTTGTTTAATTTGCTGATCTGAAGTAGGCTCATCAGCCAAAAAGATCGTTCGTTAGCGGACCTGGGCAGCGCGAGCTGCGAATGTGTGGACACTGTTTAGACCAGCAGCGCAGCATGCGCAGCTGGGATGGAATTCGAGCGCACCAAGATATTTGTGGTGATTATTGCGAGAAAATAGTGCTGTAAAGTTATGATTCAGCGCTTAACTCATGCTATTGCGTCTTCACCCAGCCTCTTGGTGCACATTGCCTGAATCTAGTTTTGTGTGTGGAGCTCTGCCGAGCTTGTAAATTCAGTTTAACTGGCGGGCATCTTGCCCAAAGCATGAGCATGTCATAAGGAAAAACAGAGATCGGGTGCACGACGTTCACCGTTGAGAGACGAAAGCGTGGGTCATGAGCTAGTTGGAAACCGAATTCTGCCGTGGCCCCGTAGCTTTGGCTTCGTTTGGAGCCTGGAGTCAAGCTGGAGCTAAGCTGGGTAGGACGAGTAGGACTCTTCTGATGTGGCAACTGCCGCGCCGCGTTTGGGCGGGTCTTGGCAAGGCTGGGCTCCACACTCGCGTCAGATCTGACAGGTTTCATCATTCATTCCGTACCGAAGATGTGCTTTAGACAGCATATGTGTAAATAAATACGTTCATAAAACAGAGAAATCAATATAAACAAGCATCGCTCAGTGTACATACGCATATGCATGCATGTATGTATGTATGTATGTATGTATGTATGTCGTATGTATGTATGTATGTATGTATGTATGTATGTATTGCTTTCTTACGGATGGGCTGGCAACGTCTTCCCACGGCTTGATACGGCTTGTGGTGTCCAAGGCCAAGCTGGCGCCGTCTGCAACGACCCGGGCAGTGGCAGCTCTTTCCTGCCGTGGGCTGTTCCAAGCTTGGGCGAGAATTCTGAGATCATCTGACTTGAGCTTACTAAACTTTTGAACCAGTCAGGCTGTGAACGTACTAAGTTACGCCCAGGTGCAGCCGGTTCGGCGCTACATCTAGGCTGAAGCCGCTTGCGGCGACTGCGGTGACGGCCATAGCCTTATCCGAACAGAAGATTAGCTATCCTACCATGGAAAAAAATGCTCTCGCAACGGCTGCGGCTCAAGGCGCTGAGCCTGCCTCTGGCCGGCAGGCGGTCACTTTCGACAGAGGAGGTGCCCGACAGATCAAGCTGCCAGCTTGTGACTGCGCAGGGAAAGGGATAGCGTCGCGACAGCTTCTGATTCTGTACTTAGGCATATGTCTCTCCTAGTTGCAGGCGCCTTGGACCACGACGGCCTCCGGCCTTCAGTATCGTGACCTTGCCCTGGCCCTGTAGTGACCGAGTGGGTTGCTCCTTCTGGCCACCTGCAGCCTCGTCTTTGGAGTCTGTCGCGTGGAGCTGTATGGATCAAGACCATCTTGAGACATGTGCTCGACGTAGCCTGCATCGCTCCCACGGGCAACTCGAAGAGTTCTGTCCACGTCGGGGCCTCCGAGACGTGTGTGCAATTGAGCTCGTGTGTGGACGTGGCTTCTTGCAATTACATTAATTACATCATGCCAGCGGACCTGAGCAGGTGGGGCCATGAGCATGCAAAAGTCTCGAAGTTTGCCAAGACTCCCTGGCATGAGCCCGAGCTTGGCAAGCAGCTTTGCCTCTGCAGCTGCGGGGGGTTCAGTCCAGGTCCAGGTCAACAAAAATTTCCTCGCATACGAGTGGTGCATCGCCTGGATCCTGCACACATCGCCTTGAACCTGAGATGCAATTCATTGCGATGAAGATTAATTCTGAATCTGCTGGCCGACAAGAGCACAGGCAGCTTTGACATGCGAGGCAACACAGCACCGGTCAATCTAAGTCTGAGTTTGCATGAGCTGCACCAACAGTAATGTTGCTAAAATTAGCAGACTCAGCGGCACCCATGCGACCTTTGCAGCTTTTGCACGCAGGGCGGTCTGGTAGATTTTCCGGTTCAGGCTTATGGTTTCCAGCCCGAGTTTGCGCTGCAGACTTGGGTAATTGAATTGCTCGCCCCCTGTAGTATCGGAAAGAATGTCGATTTCCGTGTCAATACCGGCTACAGCGACAGAACTTGACTTTGTGGTTGCAGAAAACAATTTCTGGCAGACTGTCGTCCTTTGGATGCTAAGGCGAGAGCAGAGGCAAGCTGCCACCCTTTCTGTTGGAGTTCTGACTGTTTGGCCTAAGCTTTTTCGTAGAAATTGGCAGGCTCGGGATCCAGCTGACGGAAAAGAAGGAGACGAGGCCGAGGACGCCCTCCGTCGTTTTCGGGGAGATCGAGGAGATGTCCGGGCCCGAGCCCTCCAGTCCCGGCACAGCTCTGAGCTGGTGCCCATCAGGTTGGCCCAGGAGAAGATCTCTTGGAGCAGCAAGGCCCGGAGGCTCAGCCTCACATCTGGGTATAGACTTGAGTAGTTTCTAATGATAGACTGTGCAGAGTCAGAGAAACATCGAGGAGCGAAGAGTCTTGCTCGCCGACCAAATGGCCAACACGCTGGACAGCTCCGCAAGGGTCGAAGTTGCAGCGGTCGCTAGTGCAGTGTGACAGTGTGACCTTGGCTTCCAACACACGGCTGAACTGAGTGCATGAATGCGTTCGTGCTTGTGTCAGGGCCTCCTGCCTTTCACGAAACTTCGCAGCCATCTCAAATCAGCTCGGCGCGTCAGGATGTGGCCTCGAGAGGGGCAAAGGCGGCAGCAAAGCTGAATCAACCGGTGCCTTGACGCCTCCTAGACCCAAATGCAATGATCCTCGAGTTGACTCAGTAGTGACTGAAAATCGACTTAACGATCAGCATCTTGCCAACTGAGTCTACTGTGCCGTCTGTAGAAGCCTTGCTAATTGCCGACCTTGGGTTGTATGTGCCGAAAGTTTTTGAGCCGCACAGACATGGTGCCCGTCATGCACGGTGGCCTGGTGCGTATCGTGCCGGAATCAGGCTGCAGAGGTGGAGATTGTCATTCCCAAAGAACCAGAAGAAGTTTTTGAGCAACTCGTCATGCAGCAGCCTTGAACATGCCAAAGATGATAGCTTGGTCACAACGCGTTCATGTGAAGCACTATTCGTGGCAACTGAGCTCCCACTAGCTTGAGCTCAGGAACCTCGATTCCTTTGTTCCCGACTCTGTCCCGAGGACCTTGCAATGCTTACGTTCTTGTCGGGGATGCTGAAGCCTTGTAGATGTGCGCACGATACCGGGGAAGGAAGACTCTTGTACAGTTCTGGCCTCTGTCTCATCTGTCGCTTTGTGTGGGTCTGTGAGAGCACTTGTCCGAGTCCGGTTCCGGAGCAATGAAATCGTAAATATCCTGTGGAGGAGTGGGGTTTTCACATGCCACATGACATCGTGTGCTTCTACACGCATTGCATGCGCGAAGACCAACATCAGCTAAGCATTCTTCGCGCTGTTGACGCTTGAGACTTCGGCACATTTCCTACAAGCAGACCACAGGGTATTCTACTAAACTTTCCCTTGACATAACCATGAGGGCATTTCTTGCGCTGCATCTGTCTCCGCAAACAACTCGTTCCGTTGCAGCGTGCACACGTTGCCACTTGGTCACCCTAGCTCTGTGGAGCTTGTGAGATGTGGCTGACCAGTGCACTTCGGTAGGCCACCCGGTGAAAACCGCGTGTGGGTTCTTTACAGGTGTTTTAGCAAGAGTTAAGGTCGGGGTGCAGGCGGGGTCCTACAAGTCAAAATGATTGATTCAGAGGCAATATGGAGGGTCACCCCTCGAGTATCAGAAGATTTTTGCGTCACTGGATAACGTGGAAGGCCTCCCCTCCCTAACTGAAGGTCCCTGGTCCAACATGTTTATTCGGCACTAGTTTCCAGCAGCAGTTTCAACGGTAATGGGCAGCATGGCAACTTTCGTATAGAGGGACTTCAAAGATCTTCAAAGACACTGCTTCATTACGAGCGCATCTGCCTAGCTACTGTATTGCACTTTAGATAGGTTACATTCTTGCATGGTGAGCCATAGCGAACCCTGCGGTTGCACACGACCATGCGTGTTGCGACTATTGCGATGCCTGTTCAGGGCTTGTGGGTATTGGCATTCTCGGGTCTGCGGGGGCCTGCTTGCCAAAATCGCGACAACTGTCAGCATTTAGAGGAGCCTCGGCCTCACTCGACTGATTCGCAGTGCTGTGCTGCGATAGATTCGCTTGAGGAGTCGCCTCACCCTTCCCTGCTGCGCTTCCTTGTAGCTTTGGCCCTTCGCAAGACTTGGCTTTCTACAGCATGCAGTGCGACGTGTCTTGGTCAGTATGCACACCATTCAAGCGCAGATAATCACGGCAACGCTGCGGAAAATGACGAGTTGCTGCTTGCAGATGCTAGTTCCAGGAAAAGAATTAGAGGCCTGTTGCATGAGCCTGCTAAAATCGCTTAACTCGGCCAAAGGACTTGTGGAACTTGTCGCAACATGTTTCCAAGCAGCTGTCCAATCCGAATAAGCTTTCCTTGATCTGCTGCTGGCCTTTAGTCGCCCTGAAAGTATCTGAAAGTCCAATCCCTGTACAGGAAGCTTGCAGAAGCGTTGGATGAATGTGCCGCACCCAACCGACTCTCTCTTACTCTATCTCTCTCTCTCTCTCTCTCCCTCTCTTTCTCATTGACTCACTCACTCACTCACTCACTCACTCACTCACTCACTCACACTCTCTCTCTCTCTCTCTCTCTCTCTATTCGTCTTGAGTCTGCTACCTCGTCGGTTAGTAAAAGTTGCATCTTCGGAGTGCTTCGAGCTTGCTGTTTTGCTGTCGAGCAGCCAATGGTTATGATTTTGCCGACTCGAGCTACTAGCCTGGAACCTTCGTGGTAGTAGCATCAGGCAGCATCGGAAATGTCATGGGTTGCTCTTGTTGCAGAGGTTCTGTGAGCATGGGCAACCTTTTGGAGGAGGCCGTCTGCATTAGACCAGCATCCGCAATGCATGGCGATTGAGACAGCATGAGTCAAAAGCAAGCGGGGTTCGGCAGTCGGTGGATTTCCATCGATGATGATGCGAGGCTTCCTGAGAACCATTAATGTTGCAAATGTCTAGCGGCAGTTTTCAAAACTGCTCAACAATTTGTCCTCTCGGGTGTCGGGAGGTGGCCAAAACGGATTCGATGCTGCAGCGGGACCTGGAGTCAGAGTTCTGGCAGGCTCCGCATTTTGAGATGCCCAGCGAAATGGTCGGGCTTCTTTTTTAACAGAGATGTTTTCTGCAGGTAGCGTATATGCTATCCCCCACTCCCTCCCTCTTTATCTCTCCGTCTTTGTGTGATCTTTGCTGACAGTGAGATCGAGCATGCACTCTCTCCCTCGTTCTCGTTCCCGTTCTCATTCTTTCCCATTCTTTCTCTCTCCGTCTCTCCGAACCTGTCCGTTTCGCTCGCTGAGTCTCCCCCTATGTCAGGAGCACGTGATCATGTATGAGCATGTATGCAGCCAGAGGAGGACGAGAAGGTCGTCGAGGAGACACCTGCAGAGGTTGTCGCCAGAGATCCGGGGCCAGCTCTGCTGGCTGCTCGGGAGGCCCGTAACCAGAAGATCTGACTTCTCAGAATTCTTCAAAGGCTGCAGCCTGCTGTCGCGATGAGTTTTTGGCTGTTGCGGGCAGGCTGCTGGACTTGGGGTGTTGGTCAGGGCTGCAAGAGTTCAGAACGCCGCCTGCTCACCCAGAATACACATCCACAGGAAATGCAGAGGCAACAAACTTGGGCAGGGACTGGACAGTGAGAGGACTTTGCACTCTAGGTATTGGGAACACAGCCGTTTCGCAAGCTGCATATTCTTGCGTTTCTTGCGGGGATTGCTCTCTTTCGAATTCCGGGTGCAAGCAGGGATTCCTTTCTGGATGCAAAGCCAATGTCGATGTCAACCTGGCAACTCCGTGAAATTGCGGCAGCCTGACCACCAGGTGCCGGCGCTCTTCAAGGACATCGAAGCTCATCTTCCAAGATCAAAGCCCGGAGCTTACGAAAATCTTGCGTGTGTACTAGTTGGTGCTCCGATCAGCCAAGCATGGCAGCAGCACGTCATAAAGTAACAGCTTGCTGGCGAGATGATTGACAGGCATTCTTGACAAGCCTACGGCCTATGGCTCCGGTAGACTGGGCCTGTGATCAACTCAAACTTCTTTGGCACCCTCAAAACCTTCAAAGTTGCTACTTGTATTTGGCTGAACTTGGTAGTTTCATTTGGGTCAAGATGCACTGTGCTCAGTCACTATATTATCTTGTCACATTATTGCTTGCTTTTGGTTTCGCCTTGTCTTGTCTTAGCAAATGTCTTGTCGTTTGTGTGCCGTCGAACCCTCAGCTTTTGCCTATGGGAAGGGTTTGGCTGGACTACCGTAATCGAAGCGAGCTTTGGATGCGTATCTAAGCGTCGTTCACTCGCTTGCCACTGCCATCTTTCCACAGCAAAAAGAAGCCAGCTTCACGAGTCCAACCTGACCGGATGTATAGTCAAGTATTCTGTCAGCACGGCAACAAAGCAGCGGTCTTGGCACTCGTGTTGCCAAGCTTCGGATCGTTCAGCACGGGTGCAAGCCCACTGATATCGTAAGTCCAGTGAGTCCAGTTTAGCTCAGCACCGAAGTGGGCGACAATTCCCTGCCTCTGGTCAAAACATCGTCTTGTTTGCATGCAATAGTGACCAATAGTGCCCAGTTGCGAATGCATGGCATCTGCTGTCCGGTAGCAGTTGTAACCAGGCGAAAAGCCTACGAGACGTCGGGCCCACAGTGTTTGGCAGCACCGCAATGCTTTCAGGCAAGGGTGATCCAGTGCATGCCTGTTGCAGGGTTCCGCGCTGTGCTCAGGCTTCGGTCTGCTGGTGCTGTTGACCTCCACCGCTACCTCGAGGATACAATGCAAGTTGTAGTCCTGGGAACGAAGGCAGCGGTTTCACCGTCGCTACCGCTGCGAAAGGTTCCTGTGGCAAGCGTATCCCTTGGCTTCATCACCCAAGCTACCTCATCTCTCAAACTTCGAAAGGAGAACTTCGAGGGAGCTTTGGAACGCCGAGATGACGGCATGCAGTGGGTGCACCGGGTGATGCACCGGAAGGACCTGACGCAAGTGTGCATGTGGTCTGCAGTGCAGCAGAGATCATAGGGGTCGCACTTCAGAACTGCACAGTAGTCAGCAGGGATCGGCAGGCTGTGGGGTCAAGGGAACGGCTGACAGGACAGAGTTCCTGGTCAGTCTGTCTGGACCAAGAAAGCGTCGAGGACTTGGTGGGGCTTGTCTAATTCGCTCGAAAATGTTGAAGCCCAAACTTGACCTAATCTCGACCACGGAGCTTTTTCGTTTACATGTTTTTCGTCTACACGTGGTACCAATTTTAATGGCATTTGAACCCATCGATTTGCCATACTGCCATGTTTTAAGGAAGTATGCATGTCGTGTATGTATGAGCATGTATGTATGTATGTATGTATGTATGTATGTGCTGAAAGACTGATGAGTGCTGGTGAAATCTGCTAGCATGCTGTTGGATCGAACTGATCCAGGTGGCCGTGGCTAGAAGCCACTTGCTGCCCTCTCACCTTCTGGTCTCACTGAAACCTCGCCTGACGCGGCGAGTGCGAGTGCTAAAAATGTATGTATGTATGTATAGCTGGCAGCGATATGTTATCTTAGGTGCAGTTTTTCCATCCTATTGCCCCGTTTGTACTTTTTAACCTTTCACTTTGTTCTCTCTATGACTTTATACATTGCTGCCGGAGACGAGTGCCTTTCTGTTTTGCGTAGTTCATCGCCCTACGGGGCGATTGAACCTCGAGGCTCAAAGCGGGTCTACCACTATGGGGCGGACACGCCATGGTGGATCCCTTGTAGGCTGTCATTCTAGTGTTTATATCCTGTTTGGTTTATTTACAATACTCTCGCCGATAGGACAATTCATTGACCTCGAGCTTTTCTGTTGATGTGGAAAGGGCGCCTAAGTACGGCGTGCAGCCTCGGGAGCTGCCAGCTTATTGCTGCGTCCGCATCGCGAAGACCCCTCTTTGCGGCGAGTGAATGAATGAAAGAATGAACGAATGAATCAATGTATGTATGTACGTACTTCTGTATGTATTTATGCATGTATGTATACATGCATGGCCATTCAGGTATGTATCTTTGTATTCCGTTCATGCCCCCTCAAGGTTGGTTTGTGTTGCAGGCACCTGAGCCTGTACTTCTTAAGCCCAGGCTGCAGCTTCTTGACTCCGAGCGCTTCGAGAGGCGGCTGGAGCTTGGTCTCGGCGCGGAGCGCCCGGCGAAAGATCTCTTGTGTTCAAGGGACAGGCTGAACTGTATTTCAAAGCCGGTTATCGTTAGAAACCTGGAGCTGGAGCTTATGCACGCAGGGAAACAGAAAGATAACTCCATGCAGAGACAGGCTCACCAGATTCGCGCGGCTCCGTGGTTACTCACCTGTTTAGTCACTTGCGCCGTAGTCCTCGAAGCAGCCTTGCGCTGTTCTTCCTACCCTCCGCGTCGCAGCTCCATGACCAAGTGTTCCCTGACCTCTTCGCAGTGAAGTTCGTTTCATCCCACAGCACAGATCATGGCACAACTCCTTTTTTCGTAGCAATCCTCTCTGAATGTTCATTGAACGGGGTCGGTCTAACTCGTCCCTGTGCTCGAGGGAAGAAAAGCAAGGAGGTGGGTTCGAGGGAGTGGGAGCGTTCCGGAAGAAAGACAGAGCGAGCTACAGGACCTCTTTCAGAAAGCTCAGGACCCTTGTGTTCAGTCACGGACCGTGCGCAATTTATCGTAATTGCATACTATGGCGGGGGGAGCCTTCAGCTACCGGGTTCAAACGTAAACCGACTGGCCCAGCACAGGGGAAGACTTGCATGGAGGTCTGGGCCCCTACACCCCTCGCAAGATCTCGCAAGCAGCCAGCAACCGGATTAGGGTCGGCTGCACAGTAGTTTGCAGGACGTTACAGTGGCTAGGTAGTTTTTGGTAAACCCATTCCCATCAATCGGAACAGGCAGAGTATTGGCTTGAGGACGAAAACAACCTGTGATAGTATTACAGGTAGCACGAGCTTGCAGAGAATGTAGGCTTGAGCGCGATCATCCTTTTGAGCACTACTGGTCGTGAGTCCGTGAGCATTGTACAAGTGTTTCGACATGTGGTTGGACATTAACCATGCATGCCAGCTTGTAAGCCAACCGAGTTGCTACCAGTCGCCGATCCTGGACTTAGCTTGCCGTGCAGGACTCCTGAACAGCGACTGTCTGCGCGCAGCAGCCTCCGGCTTGCTGCGCTTGCAAGGTCAGCACTCCTGCATAATTAGCAAGGTGCAGCTTAGGATCCTTCCGTGCGTACATGTCCAAGTAAGACACAGCTTGTTCAACTGCTGTCGCTACGAGCCTGCAAAGCAGCCTCTTTGCAGTGAAGCAGTGGAGACAGAACCCAAAGCAAGCACACCCGTGATTAGACGACCAATGCATGATTGTTGGGTTCTGTTTGCCATCCAGACAAGTCGTGGTGGCGTTAGGAGCAAAAAGCGGGTTGCAGAACAACCGAGGCTTAGAAACTGCGCGTTTCTGCCGCTCAGGTCGTCGGGGAAGGCGAAGCCCCGGTCAAGGGACAAAAAGTGAAAGTGCCACGTCCTCGTAAGCTCCGGACAGAGTAACCGCTCGAGCTCAATTCATCTATGTAAGGCATTACACAGGCAAGCTGGAGAACGGACAGGTCCCAGTTGCTTGTCGTGGGCCACGAGAACCCTTTGAAGTGTAGTGCTTGCAATGCACAGGTTTTTGATTCATCCATTCCAAGGGGCCGACATCTGAGCCGGTCCGTGTGGGCAGCGCTCTCTTCCCCAAACACAATTTTGGCAAGGCGAGCCCTTGGACTTTAATGTCGGCAAGGGTCAGGTGAGACGTGGCTTTCGTTGGCTTGCATGTTCTTGAGAATCAGATATGAAGCCGGTGCCGCGAGTCAGACCAGGTAATTGCTGGTTGGGATGAAGGCATCTTGACGATGAGGGTGGGTGGAAAGAGGCAGCTGCCACTAGTTCTTGTGCTGGAATCCAGCGACCCAGCACGTGAAGTCAGGGAGCTGAAGATTCCACCAAAGCTGGGCTATGGAAGCCGAGGCATAGGCAGGTCTCCCAGCTGGGCGGAGAAAGGGCAGGGAGCCTCGGAGCTTTGTGGTACTTTTGATCAGGTCCGATCCCAGGCAATGCCACGCTCTTCTTTGAGTGCGAGCTCGTCGGACTCGGCTCCCAGCCTAGACCTGAAAACGAACAGAAGGGAGAGGGAGATGTGAACGTGCAGTCGCACAGCTGTCCCTCGTGCTGGCTCACCAGGATCTAAGGGGAACATGACCCACTAAGTCAAGCCCAGAGAGAATAGGTCTTGTCTTGCCCCAAAACCTCGCCTGTTCGTCGAGCGCGAGTGCTAAACAGTCAAGTCCACAGCATGCGCCCGCCTTCCTGACAGCAAACGCCAAGTTTGTCACATCAAGCCAAGTTCCGAGAAGAGGCTTGGGCGGGTCGCCATATACACCATGCTTATTGCTACCAATCCCCCGTTGCAGCCGGTAATGTGGATGGACCATGAGAGAGGCTTCTCGCTCGCCTCGCCGCTCGGGGCAGCTTCCATGGGGACTTTTGAAGAAAGAGCTCCATCCAGGCTGCAAGGCAGCGTAGGGTGTGGCAGTGGCACATGCAAATCTAGGAAGAGACTGGGTGTTGTGGCCGCAAATGTGAGGTGCGATTGAAGGCCTTGCACGTGCAGCGGAATGGGCAGGCTGGTATCGTCGAGGATTATGTGCGGACGAAACAGCGCTGGCGAGTGCGTCTGCTGATTAGTGGAAAGTCGCACGACTTCAAAGCAGAAAACCTGGAGATTGAGGAGGCCGCCGACAGGCCGCCGCCCGCAGACTGGGTTGGCCCTGACCTTGAGGCAGAGTTGGAGATCCAGCCAAAGGTTGCTTACAAGGAGGTTGCAGAAGAGCCGCTGAAGCTCACAGCCTTGGCTGCAGGCTGCAAAGTAATGCTTCACGGTCTCAAGGCAGCCCCAGAGCTGAATGGCCAGAGGGGCGAGGTGGAATCTTTCGTGTCGGAGTCTTCGCGCTGGCGGGTCAAGCTATTGGGCGGCAGCATCAAGGACCTCAAGCCCGACAATCTCCGGCCCTTGTCCGCCGGTGAGCTGGACGCGTCCGCCACTGCTTTGTCCGAGCTCGATGCTCTCGAAGCCGATCTCGGCATCGATTTCGCCGCTGCACCCGGAGATGCTTGCGGGCCCGACGGAAGGTTCGTTATTGAAGACAAGCTTGGGGAAGGCACCTTTTCAACGGTGTTCCGATGTCGGGACACCTGCGCTGACAACGCAAAGTATGCTGTGAAATTCACCAGGCTGGAGACCTGCCGCGGAGTGGAGCTGGTAGAGAGATCCTGTAACGATCCAGGTATGTTAAGCAAAGATCTCATAGCAGCGCAGGTCGAACGAGCAAACCCGCAGGGCCTTGGAGCGTGAGATCAAGATCATGGGCCAATTGATCGCCAAGGCGGGGCGCGAACAAGGCGTAAGGCGTGTCATCTCCGTGTCTCCGAAAACCCCCAGGTGGGTGAACGGGACCCCGAAGGCATGCGCGCCATCTTGACACTGGCCTTCTTCGAGGGCTTCAAACACAAGGGTCGCCTGGCCGCTGTCTTCGAGCTCATGAAGTGCAACTTGCGGACTGCACTGGCCAAGTATGGTGCTGGACGCTTGGAATTTTAAGCCAACAGTAAGTCTGGCAGCAGTTTACTGATACTGAAGACTGCATCAAGCAGAAAGGAGTCGTGCAAACATCTTCCTGCATCAGAACCTTCTCAGGCAAGGGACTGCCCCTCCTGCCCACCGTCCGGGACTTCGGCCGGCAGCTGTTCCTGGCTTTGCGAGTGTTGAGGCGTGCTGGTTTGATTCACTGCGACGTGAAGCCTGAAAACCTGTTGCCTGGCATGGGGGCCACCAGTCACACGCTGACACTGTGCAGATGTAAGTCGACATCCTTCCACCTCACTTCGGTGTTGTGTTTCGTGTCTCTGTGGCTTTGCCCGAGTTACTGAGGCTACTTGGCGGTGACAACGCCACAATCAAGCTGAGTGATTTCGGAAGCTGCCAGGGCTTGGAGCAGCGCTTGAAGTCCGAAGCAGCCTAAGTTGTTGTTCGTCAGTCCTCCGCGAGTTGGCCTGGGAGCATCCAAGGATCAGCTCATGCCACGAAACTACCGTGCTCCGGAAGCTTGTTGGCAGTTGAAGGGATGGATCGAAGACTCTTGGCTGGGCTTCCGGATAATTCGGCGACTCTGAGGAGATCATCGTTGGGCTGGTCCGTGACTGAGACATGCTCACTGTCTTGAGAAGTGGAGCAATCTCATTGTTTTTCAATAGATGCGCAGTGGGCAGAGGACTACGACTATTCAGTGGATGTTTGGAGTGCTGGCGCCACATTGTTTGAGCTTGCTACCGACTCGGTGCTGTTCCAGGTACATTGGAAGTGTGCTAGTTTGCATAAATCTGAATGCAGCATTGTGCGCCTCATTGCGCCTCCCCTTCATGACTCATGCGGTGGCAATTGCCGCATAGGGTGAGACGAACAACGACATGCTTCACGCGATGTTCAAAGTGTGTGGGTCATGCACGCCACACGGCTTGCACAACCGGAGAACATGCCGCCGACTTGATTTGCCCACCCCTCAACCAGATACATTTGAGGAAGTCCTTCGCAATGAGTGGGACCTTCACACACAATCATTTCAGCGCCAGCGGCGAGTTCCTGAATGCCAAAGGCCTGGCCCAGACAACTGTTTGTGCTAGCTGCTAGCCCTCCAAACAGAAGTGGAGAAGGTGATGTGGCCATCAAGTCGGCCAACCCACGTGCTCCTTGTCGAGATTAAAGACTTTCGATGAGCTTTTCAGAGTTCTCAAGTCCTGGAGGGGTCTCAGGTGGTACCGCTGGACGCTTTCGATCCGCCCAGTCGTCCGCTACGGTTCCTGCTGGAGGATGTCGCATGACTCTGGTGGCGCCAGTTTAAACATGACAACTTCAACAAGCTCTACCCAGGTGCTGAAGCGACCGCCCAAGGGTGTGACTGCAAGCCGCCACGAAGGTCTGCGCTGCCCGGAAGTCTCGGCTTGAGTCGCTTTGAGAATCCGGGTTGGGATTCCCATGGGCCGGAGCATGTCTGCACCCGGCGTCGGCAGCTCCATTCAGCAAAGCCTGCAACAGAAGCGACTCTAAATTTGTGCCTGGACGTTGTAGTGCCTCAGAAGATCCGGAAGGCCTGGTCAGCCACTTCTCAGATCTGCTCAGCTCGTGCCACTCGGCACATCGGTGAAGCCCAAGCCAGCATGAATTGTTCTACCACTACAGTATGTGGTTCTGCAGACTCTGCGAACAAAGGTCAGCGCATAGCTCCAGAATCGAGAGTGACGGCTGAGTCAGCATTGGGCCACAAGTTCTTCCAAAAGGGAGCGTAGCTTTGGCCGGACAGCCCAGCCTGACCTCGAAGCGAGCTCGACAAGAGTTTGCTGTCCCGCCTGGGATGCAGCGCAAAATTGGCGAGGGAAAAGCTCGAAACTCGAAACATCTCGAAACCCTACCGTTCTCGAGGAAGTGTCGTGCAGCTCGGTTTCAAAAACACGCATGAGGTCCTTGATGAGCCGACTTCTCGGCAAAGTGAGCTGACCGAGCTAATGGGTTGACATCTGAGAAAAGGCTTTTCCGTAGCATGCGCCCCAGCAGTATGGGCAACTTGAGTTCTGCTGCCAGCGAACAAGCGTCCAGGCCTTGTCACAGAAAGCCACTGCGCAGCTTATAGTGCTCACAGGTCCGACACGCAAGCGCGCAGATTTAATTTCACTGCCGGGGAATAACAATCTTCTTGCGGCCTGGTCCATCCAACGGCTATGGCAATGGGTCTCAGCTTAATCTTGCCCTTCGACATGTGTATGTACCAATTGCTTGAATATATACATGCACATCCACATCTTCATTCAATGGGATTCGCCCGTCGGTTAATGGAAGCAGAATGCACGACGACAGCAACCAAGGCATTAGCAGCTCCCCCGCAAAACCCAAAGCTCTCATCGCCATGAAAAGATGGAGGGGCCCGTGCTGTGCAAGTCGGCTACCCTCACTTCTTTTTCTTTTCGCCCGGCCCAGAGCATCCATCAGTTCCAGAGCCCTAGGGCCCAGGGTTGTGGTGTCGTTTCCGGGCCTTACGAGGGCGAGGTCCAAGAGTCCCACTTCAATGCTCGAAGGTTCTTTCATGGCGCAGCCGGCTACCAGCTTGGTCCTGGCCCGGGGGCCCTGATGTCCACTGAGCAGACCCCCGAGCCTGTTAGCTGTGGATAGTACGGACAGCAAGTAGTAAAGAAGTGCTTACCCTGTAAGTACAGGCAGTTTTCGAGGTACCACGTTGTTTTGCTGAAGCCGCTGTGCTATGGGGGAAGGGGTTTGGGCGAGTTCTTTTTACATTGGGCTGAGCAGCGAGCCATGGAAAGCCCCACCGTTCGTAGTTGCTTGGCGGCTTGCTTCCGTTTGTTTGGCTTTGGGATGGCGTTGCGCGCGAACCGAGAGAGGCATTGTCCGTGAGGTCGCTAAAGCGCAGGTGCAGCGAAAAGGGGTGCTCGAGTGAAGATGGGCCTGCAAGAAAAGCATGGTCTTTTCGTCAATAACAGTGCATGCGGGATAACTGAAAAATTCTGCTACTTTGCCACAAGGGCAGCTCAGGCTGCTCGAGTTCCTCTAGTGATTGACAACAGGCGTGTCGCGGTTCGAGCGGCAGAGCCCATGCTTGACAGGTTAACTCCAGGTCCTAGCCTGCTTATTTCGGTGGTGTGGTGCAGTAGAGAAAATCGAAGGACCCACCCACCTATAAACTATAAGCACGCGCACACACACACACATACACGGACGGAGGCACATGTGGAGTTATGCTAAGAGAGCTGAGTTACGCTGGGGATGCCTGGGAGGCCTCTCTGGGTGCTGGGCGCAGGCCGGCTCGGATGCCAGAGCCATGCGCGGTCAACTCCACTGACATGGGCCACTTCACACTGCGAGTCCAAGCTTTGGCTGCAGAAGTCATGCAGAGAGCCGCGGACGTCCGGGCAAGGCCCCTTTCAGACTTTCAGCCGTCTGGGACAAGCAAGCTCAAACTGGCAAGACAGCAACAGCAAGTGAGTGATATACACAAACCACCCACTGCCACTTGTCAGTATGTTTCCCATGCTGCGACATGCGATGGGTGGTTCGGCTTTGGCAAGGAAAGTGGCGAGCCGAGGCGTGCTGAAGGCTTCGCGGTGTGACTGCATGGCTTTGTCGTCCCTGCAAGCCAGGCAAACCGGCTTCATTCACTGGCTTTTCGAGGCCTGACACTTCGCATGGCCTGTTCGTGGCACGGGTTTGATGCTACTCTTATTCCATTATGATTTTTCCAATCGTGGCAACAGCAAGCGCTCCGGTGGATGTCCGTGCGCCACAGTGCCGGGAAAGGTTCTGCATTTTGGCAGAAGCTCAGCTACCGGACGGGCTCCTCGCGCAGCTGGCTCAGTGTTGTCCAGGCGGTGCTGGGTTGTGCTTTCCATCTCACCCGACTGCCGAGATCCAAAACGGTGCCGGAAGCCCACCTGCAACATCCTGCAACAGAATGGGAAAAAGCAGGCTAAGTCCTTCTCACTGCAGGGCGGTTCGGCTTCAATCCGCGGCGGAGCAGCTCAAGCCGAGCCTTGGTAGCACAAAAGCCATCCAGTGGCTGATCTTGGACTTCATGCGCACTCGCGTGCCGCAAGACTTGTCGAACCGAATCGCTAACAACAAGAGCGTAGCAGCCCCTGACAATGTCGCTGCTGCAAACATGCAAGGTCGGATGCACGCAAAGGTGAGAAAGCCATAGGAGCACCTTGGCTGCATCCATGCACGATTGCGGCGTTCAGACTCTCCGGGACTCCCCGGATCTTGGCTTCAAGTGGCCTGGGTGGTTTAACGTGGTTTACATGAGGCCCAGTGCTAGGGCCTGCTCGGGTCCATTCTCTCTCTCTCGAAGCTTTGGAAGGGGCTTGCTTTTGATTTTGGCCTGCTCGACGGAAGGGTGTGCAGATAAATGCGTGCCCTCAGGTCGGAGACAGAGGAGCAGGAGAGCCATCAAGAGCTGTTGACCATCGTACTTGCTCATCGCAATGCCCTGGAGGACTGGTCTACAGAGATGGGCGGCCTGCATCCAGCTCTGCCTTAGGGACACGCGAGAAAGAGGCAGCACACACAAGTTTGGTACACAACGTGTGTACACATGTCACATCAAGCTGAGCACACTAGTTGTGAGAGGCCAAGTTTCCACGTGAAGGTGTTTGGGTTGTGAAAATCCAGCCTCCGCTGGATGCCGGGAGCACAGAACTGGCAGAAGGTGCTTGAAGGGAAGGCTCTCGGCTCTAAGTCAAGGTCAGCAGCGACTCTGCAGGTGGCATCGGCCCAGGGCCCAGTGATAGGACGTCGGGAGCTTCGATTCGGAGCAGCTGCAGACTGCTGTGCAGGGCGCATCACACCAACGACATTGTTGCTCAGCGCGACTGGACCGCAGACATGTACAGTACCACCATCATCTGCCGTAATCCACCACATATTATGTAGATACCCATGCAGCATCGCTTGGAAAGCCGTGGACCGTTGATGCATACCCAGGATAGACTATGGAACTTCGTGCGGTTCGCTCGGAGCCCATTCACAGGCTTGGCCAGTCGTTTTCCAATCAGAAGATACGCAGAATGTCTCAGAGGTCCGTGAAGAGGACGATGGACATTTTCCGCTCCTTCGGTGTGCGTTGGGAGAGCCTCGCCAGGTTGCTGGGCCGCGGACTTTGCAGGAAGTACACAAAGCCGCGAAGTAGTCACATCATGCCACAGGTGGCATATCGCTATGCGGAAGAATTTGAAGACAAGGGTCAGATGCTACGTGCAGAGCGCTTGGTGTGCTCCCTGCCAGGTAGTTGGGAGGCCTGCACGCTTTTTTCCTTCTGAAGCGTGAAAGGTCTACATCGACGTCATCCCTACACAGGTGCCGATTTCAGACGGTCACGGTTACAGAAATGCTTTGATCGCCACTGACAGAACAGCTGCGCTCAGGATCAGTCGGGATGGTAGCGATCAGAATCCGAGAGTGGTCCCCGCTTGTACAGCACCAGCGAACTGCGCGCGACAAAGTCAGCGGTGCCATTTCGCATCCTTTCTGCCCGAAATGTACCGCTTTTGGACTTTCTCAGGGCACTGTCTCGGCTGCCAGTTGGGCACAGAAGCTAGAGCAGGTATGGTCTAGAGTCCAGAGCCAGCAGCCCCTCCAGAAAGAGAAAAGCAGCCCCAAAGGTCCAGATGAGGCCATCTCCCAGGCTCCGAGGCCCGTCACAGATTGCCCGAAGGTGACCACGGGCCGACGAAAATCCGAGAGGCGCGGGCATCAGCTAACTGCAGAAGCCGATGTACTCGCATTGTAGCCAGAGGCTCTAAGGGCCGGTGCAGGCGTGAGCTGTGGCATTGCAGGCGCATGCGCAGCTTTTCGTGGTTTTAGTTCCCTAAGATTGGCTGCCTTTGGAGGCAGTTTGGAGGAGGTCCCCGACATCCTCGAGGACCCCCAGGTGGATGTGCAACACAGGGAGAAGTATCTGAGTCAGGGGCATGCAGACATCGCACACGCAAAGACGCAAGCGCAAAGCTGGAGCGTACGAGAAGAGCCCTGCCGAGTGTTCTCGTGCGCAAGGTTCTCGCGTGCTTTCTGGACTTGGGCTCGGGGGGAGAGGTCCTTCGAACGGGGTGGCTACCGGCGGATTGGCTCATGAGTTCCTGTCTTTTTCGGCATTCTTGTGATCTCTGCTCCCCGAACACAAGCTCCCAGGTTCCAAGCAAGCTTTGAGTTCGAAGTCAATGCCGCTCCAAGTTTGGCATGCCAGGTGGCAAGCGGCTTTGCCAGAGATGTCTGCCTTTGATGCCCTGGCCTAAGCTGCATCCCTGTTGCCGGCAAATTCATGTACGTTTGACCGCTGGTGTTCGTGATTCCGTTGAGTCGCAAGCAGACAATGCATTGACTGGCGTCAAGCAAGTGGATGCAGACTCTCTTTGAAGAATGTTTTCTCAGGCAAAGGCTACAGTGAGATGGGGTGAGAAGTCGCAGGGCACCCTGCCACGATGGGAGGACACAGCACGGAAGGGACGAACGGCGGTCGGCACAAGAGATCCTGTCCGCTCTTGCCATCATCAAGGTTCGACGACAAGATCCTGAAGACCTGGCCGCGTGATCCTTGAGGGCTCACCCGCTTCACTCGACACCACTTTCAATACTTTTCTGGTCTTGTAGGACATGCTGTGACGCTTTCATTGTGAAAGTGCAATCAATGCCTCTCCCCGACCGCAGCTTGCCCTCTCGCAGCACGGGGTAGCTGAACGAGGGGCGCTGCAGCCATGCTTGTGCAGAGTGCCAGGCGTGTCACACACCACTGGGCCTGCACTCGCTTGATGTTCCACGGAGCCATGTCGTTCATGCTCCTGTTGGTTCCACCTAAACTTGGACCTAGACAGCTCAGCCCCTCAATCGCCATGCCAGCCGAGTGCGAGTGTGTGAGTCGAATCTGCTGCAGGAGATGACTGGATGGTGCGACAGAGGAGATGTGATGCTTTAGACAGCACTGCAGTTCTGCAGAGATCTGGAGTGGTCCAAGGACTGCAGGCAAGCGAACCTCTCACACAGGTTGGGTTCCTCCAGCCAGTTTCACGAAAGGCTCAGCTGGTTGAGTGCATCCGCCCCGTGCTTGGAGGTGTCAGGCAAGTGTCCTAAATGCGGTGCTAAACTTCTTGCAGAGTCCCGAGACAATTGACTACAATGTTTCTCTTTTGCAGCGTTGTAGCACCTCAGGCCGACTCTCAATTCTGCCGTCGCTGCGGCCACAAGTTGATGGCGCAGGCATTATAAGTTATAAGCCCTGTGTGCGACGAGATTGGCTCAGTGCCGAAAACAGGGGCATGTTGTTCGGCCTCGCGAGGTCGAGATGTCCAGTGCCGGGCAGGAAGGGCTTCAATATCTCTGCTGCGCACCGAGGAGCTCGAAATCAGATGCCACAGGGCAGATAGCAGAGTGTTCATGAACACGGGCTTGATTTTTCGGCTGAGGCTCCAAGTATTCATCTCTCATCACACGTCTCCGCGAGGAGGCGGACGCCTTATAGCCCGACCGAGTATCGACCCCTAGCAATACAATCAGAGACTCACGGTACCACTTTAGTCTCGCAGCAGCATGGCTCACAGATCTAGACAACAGCTAAAAACCATCACAACCTCTACAATCTACAACCACGAGCACCAACTCCGGATCAAGATGAAAGCCTACATCCCCGCTAAGATGGCGGGTGTAACGCTGCCTCAGGCAGAGATGTACACGCCCCTTAAGCCCGGCAGAAGAAGAGACGTACACGCAGCCTTGAAAACAGCGCAACATCTCACAACCGCTACAGCATGAGCGACGCTCTGGACCACACTCCACCAGACAACTTCTCCACTAGTTGTAGTGGTGGTGCTGGTGATGGTGGTGGTAGTACTGTAATAGTATGCAGGAGGAGAAGTGGTTGTGGTTGTTGTTGTTGTTGTTGCTGGCGCTGGCGCTGGCGCTGGCGCTGGCGCTGGCGCTGCTGCTGCTGCTGCTGCTGCTGCTGGTGGTGGTGGTGGTGGTGGTGGTCGTCGTGGTCGTCATGGTTGTCGGCCCGTTGTGCCTAGATTTGCGTGTCCAGAGCATTTGCATGTCCTGGCGCTGGTTTCTCGGGCCATGCATGGCGATGGAAGGTTGTAGCATGAAGCGCCCGTACGACGTTTGGCGAGTTTGTTATGACCGTCTCTCCATTGGGATTCCACCTGTTTCTGACATTTTGGACAGCCCAACACGTATACCACAGCTTGCCTCACGAAGTGTAATTCTATGGCCCGTTATGAACAGTACAGTACAGACTGCCGGAGGAGAAGTGCTGGATCTGCATGGGAAAGCAAAAGGATAGCAAGAATGACGGTCATCCTAGCAAATCTAGCAAAAGCCGGAAAGCAACGCGAGAGTGCAGAACATCTGCCCGATCGCCCATTACACATGGGTTTGATCGTGCTGAGGGCAGCCGTCTATAACTCATTCAAACTGCAGGTCAGCCCGGCCGCCCCATTTAAGCAGTACCTTCGTTGGTAAGTTACTGTCGCTCTTACACGTTCGCGTTCGGCTCGCAGACGGTGTATGTGCTGAAGAGATCATGTGCACACAGGTTCTGGCCAGGCAGCAGGCGGAAGCTGAGGCAAGACTCTTGGAGTCACGCCTGCGCCGAGAACTCAGACCTGTCACTGTCGGCCCCAGCAAGTGAGCGTGCCACTTTACTCAGGGGAGGAGTCTGAGGCTTGGCAACAGGCCAGGCTCGCAAATTGAACAAGTCTAAGCCTAGGCTTCCCTGGCTTCGTGCCACAGGTAGGCATTCGCCCACGATACATAATGATTTGTGTTTCATCAAACCTCCCGCTGCCCTGAGTTGTGATCCCCGACCTCGCCAGGAGAAGAGCGGCATGATCCGGGAGCTGCAGCAGCTCCGCGAAGAAATCGCTGGTCTGCAATCGCAGCTTTTGGCAAAGAGGTGCGTAGTAACCACCTTGATACCGCGGCATTGCTTCAGCAAGACCCCGATGCAGCCAGGTTACAGAAGGCCGACAGCAGCAGCGCTGGCAGGTCGGAGAACGTCTGAATAGCATACCGTGTGCTCTGCTCTGTCAAACGGGTTTGTGTCCGTCCTTCGGATCATACCTCGCCGTGTCCTCTGCTCGGGTTGGCTAGGGCAACCCCCGCGTCTGTCACTCTGCTCTCTTCTTTCTCGGCTTGCTGCTCAGCGGCGAGTCTCTGCCAGTCAGTCTCTTTGCCTGCCTATCTGTCACCTCCGATCGCTTTCAAAGTTCCGATTGCAGTTTTTTTGAGCCGGTCAATGGAGCACACAACCATGTCCTTTCGCGTTTGCCTCTGGCGTTTCACTCTGTTTGGTACTCCTCCGTGGCCGGAACCGGGGCCCTTAGCAATTGCAGGGAGGCGACGACGGCGCCGGGCGAAGCTCGGCGGCGGAGATTCTTGAGGGCCTAGACATTCTTTTGCGAGGCTCTCGGCTCTGCTTCGGTTTGACACCGTGCCTAAGGATGCTGCAGACAGCACCTGGAAACAGTACCAGGCAGCAGCATTTGTTGCATTGTCCCGTGAATCAGTGGTTGCATACAGATCGAGCTTTGCACACGTTTGCCTCAGAGGTACAAGCTCAGCAGCACCACCAGCTCATGTCTCTCTTGGCGGAACACTCGCAACTGCAGGCGCTTTGACTTGATTTCCCCACGGACATCTGTGGAGTGTGTCTCTTTTGCCATGCACACCGGACTTCTATGCAGGAATTTAGATACACAGGCTGCAGTTGTCGCATGTCCGAGGCAGAGCAACAAGACACGCAGGCCGAGCTCACGACATGCCAGGAACACCTCACACGCGCGAACCTCAAGATGCCACCCGCTGTAGCCGTGCAGGCGCAATGCCATATAGGACGCAGATTTGGTCATGAGTGGGCCTGAGTGGCCCTTCGGCTTTCGGAGCCCGTGGTGAGTGAGGGAAGAGGGGGTCCTCCAGCTTGTGCGCGTGCAACGCTCCCGCAATGCTCGATACCCCACACCTGGAGCAGAGCACTCGTGCGTGGCTAGAGCTTTTCTACAGTGTATGCCTTCTGACTGCAAAATTTGGCAAAGCTTTCACCGGAGGCTGGAGGCGGAAAGCCTCGGAGCTGGAGAGCCAAGCGGCCATGGCCGAGAGCGGCCGCGACGAGGCAGAGCGCCGAGTGTGGTGCCCCAGTGCCGCAGCTTCTTGGAGAGACTACATGTTGCCTGAAATCTGCTGTGCAATGGTAGTACGACCGGAAGTTGACGATCCGAGCCACGAGTTGTGAGCTGCGAGACGGCAAGAACGACTGGAAATCTCTGTACAAAGCCAATGCCAGTTCGGAAAATGTCTGAATGTAGCTTTTCAGAGCGGCTTCGCATGTTCCAAATCGAGGCCAGATGTGTCCAAGCCACCTGGCTTTGAGCATTTCTCGCAGCGCGGGGCAAACTGTGCACCCGAGCAACGCATCAAGGAAGAATGGCTTAATCTAAGGAAGAGATGCGACAGGCTGGCTGCTGTGAAATGCTGTGAATTCCTTGGACCTTTAACAGACGAATGGAGAACGGCCTGGCAGGCCCTGAGATCGGCTGCATCAGCCAAGGGCCGCCAGAAGGAGGCCGAACGCGTTGCGCGCCAGGACGCAACGAGAAGCCGAGAAGTTGTGGGTGTGTTGCAATGCGGCGGGGCGGATTCCATCCCAGGAGGAGCTTCAAATGCGAGATCTGGACGAGCGACTCAAGGTCCGTGCGTTGGCCAAACATGTGGTTGTGCACGCTCATGCTTCTCCTTTGGCATTTAAGCCGTCTAAGCCCGTTCTTCGGCAGCTGTTTTGTGGCTTAGTTTAGCAAGGGCTGAGGTTCAGGTCGCAATGGCTGCAAGGATGCGGTCCTTGGGCTTGGTCTTCGCGCTGCTCCCCTTGAGACCCTTGGGCTTCGCCTCGCAATCGTGCTCGGCAACTCCGGAGTGTGCAGTCCTGAACCTCGTGGGGGACTGCTGCCCCAATGCAATCGGGAAGTACTTGGATTGCTGTACCCCTTCCAGGCAGTGCTCTGGCAATCAGAAGTGTGCTGCCTTGGGATTGGGAGGGCTTTGTTGTCCGAACGATGCTGGTCATCAACTCGACTGCTGCTCTGCAGCCAATGCCAATGCATCGCCCAACCCAACCGCGGCACCCACTGTGCCGCCCGTGCCAGCTGCAATGCCTGCTGGAACCACACACTCCGAGACAGGAAGTGTGAATGAAGATCATGAGCAAACAGGCAAGACCCAGACAGCACTCACGGCGGGAAGAGTGGCAGGAGAGCAAGATGCTATGGAAGAAACGGCCAAGCGTGAAATGAAGGGGAGCCGTTTCGGTCCACTGCCCATGGCTGGCTTCTTGCTGCTTCTAATCTGTATTCCAGGTCTTTGCTGCTGGTTCTGCTGGATCAAGGTCTTGAACAAAGGCAGCTCGGACAAGGCACGTGCGCTTCCCGACACCGTTGACATGGAGTCCGTGAGCGCTGTGAGCACCCGCACAGAGACCACCAGCCAGATGGAGTCCTCAGCCTGCCAAGTTGGGTCTGACGAGCTCTATCTGCCCCGAGATCTCAAGGATAGCGACATGCGTGATATGCGTGATATGCCCATGACCGTGGGCTGCTGCCCTCATGTTTGTGAAGGGAAAGAGGCCCCACCCTTCCGTACCGACCGGAGGCAAGTCAACAGTCGGTTGGCTTTGTAGTGCTTGTCATTTTGATACTAATCTTGTACCCTCTGGTACGCTGCTTTAGCGCGGCCGTTGGGCATTGCATGGGCTCGTCTCGGACGAGAGATTTAGTGAGACCTGAAAGGTAGAAGGGGTGGGCGCTGCGTAGCAATTCGAGACTTCGACCCGGTCACACGCTCAACTTTAAGCATGAGGACTGTTCTCGGGAAGATACCGGTGTTTTTTGCACGGATTCTCACAGGGATGACACACTCTCTTTTCTGTGGTAGGCACCTGACTGGTATGTCTAGACTTGCTACACATTAGACATTCCTGTGCCAATTTCCCAGCGCTGATGGGCGGTGGAAAACCGTACAAAACGGTTTTGCATGAGAAGTGCCCTGTAGGAGGAGCAGTAGCACAAAAGTTGCTAGTAGGAGGCCAGCTCCGTTTTGTGGGGGCACTGCCGAAGACACTGCAAAAGCTGCAAAATAGCCTTCAGTGCCTTCGACTGTTAGCCGCTGTTAGCCACCAGGCAGAGAGTTCCGTGAGCCAGTCTCGTCAGGCGCTACGACACGACAGCCGGGTGAACGCTCGGCGTGACAGCCTTGGACTTGCATGGAGGCTTTCTTCAGGCTCTGATGATGGCAGTTCTTCTTTTCTTCGCGCAAGCACGGTCACAGGTTCTCGTAAATTCCCTGAGACTGAGGTGCAGGGAGCGCTGAGCGACGACTTGCCAGTGCCGAGGCATTTGTATTCGTGCAATGCCGAGGCATTTGTATCATAGAATGATGATATTCGCCCCCTGCGAAATGTGCGGGGCACAGGCAGCGGAAGTTGCGGCTGGCCACCTCGAAAGTGACGTGGCAGACCTAAGACGACGGTTACGGTGTGCAGAAGACCAGGCTTGGGGACACCTCTGCAGATTTCCAATGTCTACAGCTTTGTTGATAACGAGCCAGATGTGTGACAGGCCAATGAGCTCAGAGCGAGCAATCTGAGTCTCGGCTGTCTTGCATGTGCTAATGAGTTCTTTGCCTTGTGATTCACTGTCGCGAGCTCTCATGTTTCAGTGTCTCTGTGCTCATGCCCACTGACTTGTCATCGTCCATGACCATCGGCCTTAAAAGACAGGGCTTAGCTTCAGCCGGCGTCGTCCCGCGAGGCGCGTGGAGCAAGCAGAGGCCAGATCTGCGCAGCGAGCCGGCGAGGCCGAAGACAAGCGCGCAAGCACCGATGGAGAGAGAATCGCTGCAACTCCCGGAGCTATGATTCAAGCGTGGTCGTGCTAGGAGAGGCAAGGAGGATGCCTTTTGCTGCAAACCATGCAATGCTGAGGCTGCTGTAAAGGGATGACGATGAAGATATATAATCATGGTGATGGCACCGCAGCTGGTGATCCTTGTGATGAGAGTACCGATGCCGATACCGCGCTAAATATGACAGCAACGATGCTGCAGAGCTGATCATGATGACGATGGTGGCGATAATGATGTTGATGATGATGATGGTGATGGTGATGACGAGGATGCGGAGGAGGAGGAGGGGGAGGGGCATGACGGCGGTAGAGGCGACTGTCGATGATGACGAATTTCATGACGCCGACGATGGTGATGCTGATGCCTTTGTTGATAGTGCTCATGATGATGGCGACATTGTGGTGCAGCAAAGGAGCGACGCAGGGCCGAGACGACGATTGTGTGGATGCCAACACTTACGATCTGATCACGGCGAGCTTAACAGGTGGAACTGTACAGTGCGCAACCAGCGCTGGGCTTTTTCATGTCCACGCATAGTGCCGCATGCGATTGTTGCGTTCAACAAACCATCTTATGCGATTCGATGCAGCATGTACCAACACGAGAAAGCCAGCGTTGGATGATTATGCCCATGCTCGCCGGGCTGGCCCCTCGGCCTCGGCGCTGCCGTACCAGAGATTTTGAGAGGTCAAGGGTGAGCTGAGAGCGGCGGAAGCTCTGAACCAGACCAACTCAGTCCATCTCAAGGATCTCGAGGCCACAGCTTTGCACTTCGTAATGTCCGACCGAGACATGCATAAAGCTTTCGTTGGCTTCGGTTCTGAGCCGTCAGGTGCAGCTGATGACGACGCGGGAAGCCTTGGCAGAGGCAGCAATATCACCAAACACAGTAAGCCTGCTCTCTTGCAGTTTTGCGCTGCTGTTTCAGTTTCGAGGGCAGGTGAAACTGTCGTGTTTCAGAAACATGCTTCGCTCAATGGTCTTTCATGGTCTTTCCCTCATTTCTCAGGGAAACGGTGCCTGTTCGCTCGCATCCAAGCATTCGAAGCTCTTTGGAGGCAGAAGCCGACCGTGCCACCAAGAGCAGCTGGTCGAAGCGCCTGGGCCATGAGCTGGCAGACGCGCGTGCAAAGCAGCAGGAGGTGCGCAGGAGACGCGGTGCTGCGATGCTGGCGTGGGCCATCGTGGGCCTTTGGGCCGTTTCAGCCGATCTGGCGAGGCTTGGCAAGTTCAAGAGCAGCAGGCTCATGAACTACGTGAAGCACGTCGACGCCTGGATCAGCTGGTCGGGGGAGGCCCTGTTTGTTTTTGCGTAGATCTCGGACACAAAGACTGCTGCGCACAGCCCGCCTGTCAGGAACTTCCATGCCAGGTGGCCAGCTTGCGCCGCCCCCAGCCAGCGTGGCGTTAAGATTGTCTTGCCTATACGGAGCGGGACACACAGGCGCAGTGCAAGCGTCGGCTCCTCGACCTGGAGCAGGTTGCCTTCTGCCGTTGCTAGTGGTTTTACAGTTCTCGTTGTCGTGGACGGACAGGCTTGCAGCCGCAAGGAGGCGGAGGTTGCTGAGGAACGGCAGACCGGTTGCAGAGCCATTGAGCCATCGTAGATGAAGTTGAATTATTTGACAGAATCGGAACTTTCGCAGGAACGGCGGGCCCGAGAGAGGTGCCACACAGAGGCGAGTCAAGACCATGACCGAAGCCAGAGCCACAACCAAAGCTGCGCGGAGGCCGTCCGGGCCAGTGAAAAGCTCCGCGCAGCGAGGCATGCTCCTGGTGGAGCTCGAGTGAAATGATGCATGTTTTCCGAACCATGTGCATTCTTAGTATGCCTGGAAAGAGTCTGGACATGCAGGGCACAAGGTGCTCAGCTAAAAGAGCGGCTGCGAACTTTGGAGGAGGCCGAGTGTCTTGGCCTGCAGGACACAGCTGGTCACTACCGGAGTTGTGCCAGAGTTCTGCTGTCTAAGGCTTCGGTATCCATCACGATTTCCACCTCAGAGAGCGAAGCCACAGACCAGCTCTCGGCGTCCCAGTCGAAGCTTCAGCGTTCCGGCCCCCGAAGGGCGCTTGCGAGACGGGCGACCTGGACGACCTGATTCCCATACGTCACACGCCACGCACGCCTGGATGCAAGCGACGCTGCAAACTCCAGAGCCGCTGGAGCCGTGTCAGACCAGCTCCACCAGCGACGATGTGCAAGTGATGAAGGACTTCGTGAAAAACGAGGAAGCCAGGCTTCGTGCCTTGAGCCACGGGGGTGCGCGGCCTCTGGACCCCGACCCGGGGAGCTATCGCTTGTCTTGGGAGGAACAGCCGGCGCCTCGGCAATTTGCAAAAAAGAGATCCGTGGGACGCGCTCTTCCTTGGAGGCCCAGGGCCGCCCTTCCCTTCAAGGCGAAGAGAGCGAAGAGCAGAGCGAAGAAGAGCAGAGCCTTCGGCGGCCAGGCCTCGGAGCCGCCAGCACTGCCCGAGGAGGAGTGCAGCGGTGCAGCATGGTGCAGCGCATGCAGCGCAGCCGCCGGAGGGGGAACCCCCCCGCTTTCAGCCTGTCACAAGTTCTCGTCCAGGACTTAAGCTTGGCCACGCTACTGGCCATGAAGCCCCAACCACCGGACAAGACTGACCAGGCGAGACCATCCAGGATTAGTCTGTAGAAGCTAGGTTGCATGTAGTCCAGTCTGAGCAGCATCTGTGTCATGGTTCCTTATACAAGAGATCCAAGAAGGCAGAATCGTGACTTTTTGATGCCACACAGTAGTTCCTGGTTTGGGCAGTAGGCGCAGCAGTGGATACCTTCTAGACTCTACTGGGTAGATTCGCCGGGAGGCAGCAGCCGCTTACCATGAGTTGCCTTCAGAGGCACAGGGGGGCGCAGGGAAGCGGAGGGGTGGATGGCACATGAAGGCTGTTGAGGCGGTGGTCTATGGTCTTAGGTTTTTACATTCTCGAGTTGTTGGAAGTTTTTGGTATATCCTTCCTGATTTGTCGTTTGTTCACATGTCGCAGCCAGCCTTACGTCGGACTTGTTGCTTGAAGCCGTGCCTGCCTTGTGCGAGTGTGCAAATCGAAATGAGTGCCAGTATGTCTGCAGGTGGCGCCTGTCCTCAGGCCGCAGGCCGCCGCTTGCTTCGCAGCGTTCTCATGTCGGAATCGTGGCCGTCGCAGGGAGCTTCGAGCACGTGAGCGCGGCCGCGAACGTGGGGAGCGTTCGTAGCTTGCGACACGCCGGCAGAGCTGCAAAGACCACAGCTGCAGAAAAGGAGCTGCTACTTCGAAGTTATGAATCTTGCAAATTGTTTTCACGTAATTAGTCGGGTCTGCAGCATTGGCGCGAGCTACTGTGGCACCAACGCGAAGCAGGCCATGTGCAGCATTCCAACACTAGATAGCGAGCATTTATTCTCTCCGTGCAAGCTTAGCTGAAGTACACATGTCATCTAGTGCCCCATCGCAAGATGGGGTGGGAAGACTTTGTGAGCTGACGATTTCTCTCTGGCCCTGGCGAATGCATGGCCCTGCTGGCCTTGCTCCTTCGGCTGAGTTGAGCTACTGCCTTGTTTTGGTATCATGGCTGTGTGCCACTTTGCAGGAGCAGGAATATACATTCGAAGACATGCGACACCCTCTCAGATCCCCATGGATCCGAAGCTGAGTTACAAGCCTGCGAGGTGTCTCCTATACTGCAATATCGACCAAAGAATCGCAACATGCGATGACATGCAAGAGCCCCCGTGAAGTGCTAAGGTTGTTCGGTGCTTGTGCGCGGGGGGCAGCCGACGCAAGTGCTGGGGTCCCCTTGAACTTCAAGATCGGGGAGCTTACCGAGGAGGACCCTGGGCCAACATGGGTGGACTTAGGAGAGTACTGGAGTCTCCAGGTGATGTCACCCTCTTCTAGAATGCCAACGACTGCCTGCAGGATCCTGTAGACATGTTTTGGGTGCTTGTTATGGGACTCTAGATATGCCAGGAATCCCAATCAGATGTGTGCCTGTGGCAGCACTCGGATTAAATCGCATCGTGCGCAGCTTGGGCGGCTAGTTTGGGTATCGATGACCAAGGATCCCGGGACAATTCCGCTGTGCGGCCTGCAAGGCAGTGATCTTTCAGATACAGCGCAGATTGGAGCCTCTCCACGCTATTGATATCAAAGTCCAACCTCCAACTGTTTCGGAGTTGAAACCGTGGTCATGATGACGGAAAGCGTTGAATCTGCGGGGTTCACCAAGGACAGATTAAACTTGCAGCACCAAGCCAAACTGGATAAATCTGCTCGAGCCCAAGCATGTCGCCCGGCACTGTGCTTGTCCCATGACTGTGAGACATGTGCCCCTCAAAGCTTTCGCACCGTTCGTCATCGCTCTTACTCTCTTCGAACATGTCTGCAGATTCGGGGGCCCGAGACCAGGACAGGCTTTAAAACTGTAGTACCCTCTGCGCTTGACGAGGCACGTCGTGAACAAGCGGTGCGCGTTGCCGAGATGCTGGAAGAAGTGGCTCGCTCGCAGGAGCACGGAGGCAATGAAGCTGGAAATGATTGACTCGGGCCACAGGTTTTTCTGTTCGCAAAAGTCAATTCTGTGCCACCGTGCCATTCATTGTGCATGGGATGGTGAATCCAGGCTTGTAGCGACGAGACGTACAATGACTACGGACTCTTGCTTGCATAGATGCATCAGCATGCTGCCCAAGATTGGAAGAGCAAGTCCTGCAGCTGAGCAGGCATCAAGGAGCCAGCAAGAGGAGGAGGAGGCGCGGGAGACTTGCACATGCATTCACAGGCACAATGCCGGACTGGCAGAGCATTACTTATGTCAAGCAAGCATTTGGCTGCTGGTGGGTTCTAGCCTAGCCTAAACGACCCAAACAATCGCCGTCGTTATAGGGAGTTTGTGTCCATCGCGTCCGGCAGGCAAAGTCCTCAGTGGGCCTGGCATCGATACCAACGACGCTCTCGCCTTGCTGTGATGCCCACACATGCGAAAGGATGGCACCCGATTGTGCCTTGTCCGAGGCAGGCGTCCTCCAGGGTGGTGGGAAGTGGCCCAAGCGAATGGGAGGCTATTGCCGAAGTCTGGTGGAGGACGAATTTTCGGAATGCGCAACTGAGCGTCGCCTTCTTCGGAAGTGTGACCCCACTCTTGCAGGAAGAAGACTTGCCGGCTCATCTCGAAGGCAGCTTGGAGAGGCCACTGTCGCTCTCGGTCTTTGCACGACTTGTTGAACTTGCTTCACCACTCCTTGCCTTTTTGTTCCCGTTCTCTCGTGCCGTGGTTTCTTGATGGGCAGGCTTTGTGAGAGGGACTGTCTCGCGAAGAGCGGCGAAAAGCCTCCCAGAAAGCGGTCCAACAAGCCACGGCGTGGGGCTCAGTGTTCCATGCTGTTCTAGTTTGTTTGGCCATTAGGGGCCGGTGATGGTAGATATGGTAGGGTAATGGCAGTCTGGCAGTCACGGCCGTAGTCGTAGCAGCCGTACTCGTAGTATCTCGCAGTGTTTGCAAGCCTTTAGTCGTCAAGGAAGGGGCCTGGGGATCAGCGTCTTGGATGAGAGCATGCTGGTATGGCAGCAGATGGGACGAACCCCCTCTAAGGGGTTTCGTGCGCAGGGAGTTTACTTAGGAATGGGATACAGCTGGGTGTCCTTGGCCAAACTTCGGACATGAGATTTTAGACCATCTACTTTTCGCCACACATCAACTCCTTCTGAAACGCTATGACGCTACGAGAAACGTCAGCTCCTAATCCGAGTGCAACATGACACGCCTCCGAGAGCCCGAGACGAATGCAGCAACCTCGAGGCCGCGTCAGGCGACCCAAGCGACCTCTGCAGTGTCGAGCAAAGCCACGTCCGGCCTGGACGAGCTGCCACCACCGCCCCACGAGCACAAGGCAACGTCATGGGACTAATCTTCGCCCTTCCCTGCAGTCTACACTACAAAGCCAAAACAGAACAAACGCAGCCGCGCAACCAGTTGCAGGTGGTCACGGCTGAGATGCTTGGCGCAACTCTTTCCAACGGCTGCGGGGTGCGAAAAGCTGCAGAGATCCGCTGCTGTCTTTTCTGTATTTCGAAACCCGGAGCCAAGGAACATGTCAGGCGTTATCTCCCAGGGGAAGTTTCACAAGTTTGCCTTCGGCTCAGAGTTCCATGGTTGCTTCTGGTCCTGGCATCTGCGAGCGACCGCTTCGCTTCCAGGTCCTAGTCTTGTTCTTCGATGCTTCTCATCGAAGCGCACATGCTGTTGCCATCTGGGAATATGCTGCGCGCCAATCCGCTGAAATTCAGATTCCAGATGATTCCAGGCTGTAGTAGAGGCGTGGATTGAGGACACCTCAGCCTCATGTTGTTCCTGTTCTTGTGTTCCACAGTTTCGCACATGTTTACTCAGGCATGTTGAAGCAGCTCAACTGCAAGTTGCGCAGGCATTGCAGATATTGTAGCGTTGGTGTTGAAGCGCGAGCGCAAGCTAGAAGCTTCGCTGCTGCATGCCGAGGAAGGCAAAAAGAAAGGCGGGGCCGAGTCAACCGTGTTTGCATGATTCAGAGTGGCTAGGTCCTCGGGATGCAGGGGACACGGGGATACACTCGCTGAGTCAAGCATGCTCTTGATCTTGAGTCCCCATTCTGACGCTGCTTTAGCCGCTTCCTTCCGCATGCGGCACAGGATCTTCGCAAAGCGGTCCTCGCCAGGTACGACTCATCTAATGGAAGCCTGTCCCGGTGAAACAGTCAGATGCAAGGTTCATTCTTTTCTACCGGGGTCGTCGGCTTGCACCCGAGTCTAAGGAGACACCTGGGGCTACAATTTCCAAGGGCCTTTGCCAAGAGGTTTGCTGTACCGGCCCCTTGCTTGCAAAGGTGGGCTAGTGCCTTCCGTCCCCGCTCATGTTCTGTAGCTGGGGCTCTCGGAAGGCCCGAAGGTCCCAGGACTGGGGAAGCTGCAGATGGACGTGATGTCGTTGCACGAAGTTCTCGCTTTTCCACACAAATGCGTCGCATGCACTGAATGCTGCCTGGCCTGGCTTTCAGGAAAGGATACCGCAACCCAAAGAAGTTCGACGGCAAGCTAGATGCTCAGCGAAAACCGGCCAAGCGAATTCTTGATTTGCTGCACGCTGATCATGTGATAACAATGTGGCAGCTGCTGAATATCAACTTGCAGATACAGTTTGAGAACCGTTGTGCGAAGTCAGTGCGGCTCCGTGTCTCAGGATGGGCCGCAAGACTTGGTGGCGCCTCCGGCTGCACATGCATTTCCTGACTGAGCCATGCAGAGCTGAAGACTAAACGCGAAGCGTCGCAGCGTGTTTCGGCTGATCCTTCACATGTGGGCTTGCATCTGTGACGCATGGTTCCAGTCCAAGGACTGGTTGACGCAGCAGTCTGCCAACTACATGAAGGACACTGCTGCTGGGATGTTTCGAAAAGGCTCGCCCGTCTGCTAAAGGTCTTGCACCTGAATCACATGCATAGTAGTAGCGTAGAGGCTTTGACAAACACGTGCGAGGACGATCCTGACGCTTTCCCTCGCCTGAGCACAGCTGAATTGTGACAGCTGGCTTGAAGTTGTCACAAACTCAACTGTCCAAAGTGGCAGATGGTCAGCTTGTTGTGGCTCGGACCTGTGCGCGCCAGCAGATGGTTGAACCAATCAGCCATGTTCTGCTCCATGAGCCGGATAATCTCAACCTCTCCTGCCTAGGTCGGAGCTCCAGGCAGGCGGCAGGCTGCAGCATCTTGGGCTGCTTGGCTGGGTGCTGGGCCAGAGGGCTTCCCTACCTCAGGGCGGTGTCGCCCTTCTCAACCGTTGAACAAAGGACACAGACCTTAGCAGAAGCCAAGCGGCTAGCGGAGCTATTCTGGCGATCGGGCAGCGTGCCAGCTCCCCGGAGTAGCCGGCGCACTCACTTTGCAGAGTGTTGGCAGCTAAGGTCCCGTCCGAGGGAGCAGCTTGCGCTGCAAGTACGGCTCGCAAGTCTAGCGCTTATGAGAGGCAGAGGTGTGCGCCAAAGTGCCTGAAGTCCTCCTGCTGGAAGGCTTTGATCACGTGCCGTGTTCGCGACTGCACTGGGACGATGTTCCTCTCCGCTTGGTCCCATCCTTTCTGCTTCCTTCACTTCCTTTCAGCCCGAAGTGTGACCGCCGCCTACCGCCGCCTGGACCCTCTGCGAAATGTGAAGAGTACGTGGAAGTCCAGGACCGAGGCCTGAGAAAGGGGGAACAAAAAGGGCTGGGCTGTCAGCTGAAATAGATGGAGCATGAATAAAGGGGTGGGGAGATCTGCCCATAGTTGCCGCCTTCCATGCTGATGCCGTGTTCCAATGCCGCTGGATTCCCTGGATGCGCTGCACAGTGTGGGAGTTGGAGTTACGCACGATGCATCTCTCCGGCAGCGGCTCGAAGAGTTGGAAAGCGCCGTCGGAAGGCCTGGAAGGGGAAAATTTGGAGAGATTGTACGATGGCACGAAATGTTCATTAAATTTTTCCAGATTTCCCACAGCCATGAGCCATGCAAAGAAGTGTTGTCACTTTTTGAACTGGGTGTGGCAAAGGCTGGATGCGAGGAGCTGCTTTCGTGCTGATGCATCAGAAGACTCCGACGCCGAAGCTGGAATCTACGAGCGCTGTGTTCGTGGGTTGCCACAGTTTGAGAGCGATGCTGAGATGTCAGCCTGCCCTTTATGTTCCGACGAGACGCATGTCGGCCTCATCCCCAGAAGTAAGAAAAACCCAGGCCTGCCATCGCACATCCAACAAGAAGTAGACAGGCGTCGCCAGCATACGAAGCTCTTGCGTGAACAAATCGCCATGCTGGAACACGAGAGTGCCATGTGGGAGCAAAAGTTGCACATACTGGGCCGTCGAAGCCCCGGCACTTCACCCAAGAATAAGATCGTCCAACTGTTTCCGAAGGAGAAGGTCGGCAAACTGGAGCAAGAGCCTGCGGAACCCCCGGGATCCCAAGGACATGCTTTTGCCATGTTGGCCTACGAGCCTGACATCGCGACGCTTCTGGAGACTCCGAGCACCGCGCGCGAGGTCTTCGAGAAGATGAAGCACCCCCGCGCCTTGCAACCGCTGAAGCCCAAGCCAAAAGTCGACATGGCACAGGTGCCTTTGGAGCGGGAGTCCGGTGACTTGGGCTTGGGGCAAGCGAAGTTCGCTGAAAAGGAGGCTGCAGACGATTGCCTCCAGGCAGACCAGCGCTTTCGCCAAGCAAGGCGCGAAGAGCTTCACAGAGGGCTGCAGAATGAGCTTCAAGAAATGCGGCTTTTGGAGGGCGAACGGCAAAAGCGGCGGGAGCAGAAGCGAGCAGAATTACAGGACGAGCTGCAGGAGCAGCTTCAGCAGGAGAAGAAGGCGTGGCAGATTCGCCAGGAAAAGCAAGATCTCGAGCGGAAGGAGCGTCAGCAACGGCAAGAGGCAGCCCACAAGGAGCTCATTCTCGTCGAGCTTGAGAGGCTGCGGGACAAGATTTCACTGGGGCAGAAGTTCCATGGACAGCAGGTGGCACAGCAAGTGGACGAGGCGCGACTGCAGGAGCTGCTGCAAATAAAGTTGGATAGCTTCGCCGAGGAAATGCCAGTGGATGGGCCCAAGATCCTGACAGTCAAATGCTTTGACTGGAACGAGTGGCTGTCCTCTGTACAGAAGTTTGTCGAGCTGACGCCACAAGCCTTGCAAGAGCTCGACGTAGTCTTCCCGGAGCCACGCGGGAACAGGACGATCTCACTCCTGGAGGTCGATACCGCTTGTCGTGGCGAGAGCATGCAGCTTTCTGAGCAGCTTCGCGCAGGCCTAACCCAGTGGATGCAAACAGAAGGAGGTCGACAGGCTTGCGCAGGGCGCAGGGGGTTGACCGGTGGATTATGTCGTTTATGGTTGCTTTGCGTGAGCCGCGGGATACTAATTAATGCTATACTCAAACGGGACACTCTAACAAACAACACGGTTTGAGCTGGGTGTCTTGTTGTGCCCTACAGGCACAAAGGTTGGAGCTAACATTGGACCATTGGGTGGTCTTTTTTGGGAACTTGACCCTCGCTTGCATTTCAATCGTGTCGGGCTGTTGCAGTTTCTCTCCTGGTCTAGTCGACGTGTTGCCAAGGCTTAATGGCAGGACACGGGACAAGGAGGCAGACGTCCTGACATTGGAGGAGGCCTTTAAGGCCATTGCCGGAGACGAAAGAGTGACTATGCTTGGGCTTCAGAAGTCCCTGACATCTCCACATCTGCCCGAGCTGCACAAGCGGATGTTAAACGTCTGGCTTCGGTCCGCGATCAGCAAAAACCGTGCAGCTCTTGCCATGCCTCCAAAAGCGGTTGGGCCTAAGCCCTGCGAGGCCCCTTGCAGTGATGATCCTGGTCAGTTTGCTGTCTCTTGCAAATGCAAAGACCACGAGCAAGCACCACGCGAGGCCGTGAGTCAAGTCCGTGCAGAGGAGGATGAGCAGAAACTGAAGGCAGAGCCAGTCATGCAACCTGCATCGGAATCTGCATCAGCTGACACAACAGCACCAGTGCCTGAAAAGAAGGCGAAGCCAGTCACGCAAGCTGAACCCGAAACAGCATCAACTGAAAGAAGACTGGCTGAAAAGAAGGCGGAGCCAGTCATGCAAGCTGCGCCTGACAGAACACCGCCAGTGCCTGACAAGAAGGCGGAGCCAGTCATGCGAGCTGCGCCGGAAACTGCATCAGCTGACAGAACACCGCAAGTGCACACGCAAGACACAGCACAGCCACCTGAAAAGTCATATTTGGCCAATCTGATGGCCCGGACGCAGGCGCAAGATCGCCACCCGCAGCCGGTGTCATCAGCAGATCCGTCGGCTCAGGAAGTCAAGCAGGCGGCAAGTGGAGCAGAGGGCACCAAAGCGGCCGAGCCACCAAGCGCTGGCGCGGACAAGGCCAAGTCGACCCAGGAAGGCACCGGCCAAGTCACAGAAAAAAGAGGAGCTCCAGCTCCGAAACAACTCTCGCAAGTACAACCGAGTTCTCAGACCCTTGCTCACCCACTCGAGACCGATACACAAGCGACCGACATTGATGCTGAGGGGACGAAGCCACCCACCGTCGAAGCTTCGCAGCCTTCAGAGTCTCATCACATAAATGTGGTGAAGGAACAGCAAGCAGAAAAGCAAAAGGCGGACTCCGACAAGCAGACTGAGCAGGCAGCAATTGAGGAGGATGACAGCTTTGTGAAGGAGCAGTGGCTGGAATGGTTTTTGAGCGCAGACCTTTCGCCCGAGGAAGAGAAGTTGCTGCGTGCAGCTTTGCAGTCCTCGAGCTCAAGCCTTCCACTTAGTGGCGAGGTGATCCGAAAGGCTTTGAAGGCACATGAGGCACGGGTTGCTCCAGCTGAGAAAGAACAATTAAGGGAATGGTCCCAATGGGTCCTTGAGATGGATGCCACGGACTAGACTCCACCCGCTGCCACCTTGCAGAGCTGCTCGCAGAATGTGAGTTCAGCCTCTGGAGTTACAGAAGGCACCCGACGTCTTGAGCTCCGAAGGATGCACCGCTCGCTGTGCCTCCTCTTTGCCCCCCGTTCCCGATGTAAATGGCTTTTCGATGTTCTGATCCGTGTGATCCATGCTCTGGACATCTTGGGAGACCAGTAATCGACCAACGCTTCTGAGGTCTGCACATTGGCTGGCGTCCGAGCCCCAGTCCAAAAAAGCCGGTTTGCCAGGGCTACGCATCTTTCAGCCATTCCGGATGTTGCCCTGGCAGTCCTTGCTCCCAGGCTCAAGGGCTGAATAAAATCTCGACAGAGCCAGCAACTACTTCTGTACCTTTGCTAAAGCATGGAGCAGTATTGCAGGTAGCTAGCGAGTTCGAATCGACAATCGACAATGGACCTACAATGATCTGCATGCAGCCAGCGTCCTGTCAGGGAAGCCGGGACAAGCGTATTCTTTCCAATGGAGTCTCTTCTATTCAACCCATTCAGCTACTACTGGAACGTGCTGGGAGAGGAGCAGTCTGCTTGTGCAAAGGCCGCTTGATCGTCTTGTGTTAAAGTTCCTCGCGAGCTAGGGCTCAGCGGCGAGCTTGCGGGATTGAGTTAGCAGGGTTCTGTTTTTTGTCCATGGAATGGGTTGGAGTGAAACAAAATGGAAAAATGAAGGTACACAGCCTTTGCATAGATGCAGAGCGGCAGCAGAGAGAAGCGCTCAACATCGCTAAATTTGACCAAAAACTGATGCTGGCTTACAAGCGCTACAGCTTGTTTGGAATGATCTACGACCACTACTTTGTAACAGACGGGAAGTGGACCATAGAGTTTCGAGGAGATAAGGTTGCCGAGGCCGTCGTCCATGTACACGCTCAGCATCCAGAATACTACGAGGTCGCACGGACATTCAGCAATTCCGAAGATGTGCGACATCGCATGAAGTTGGTATGTGGCGCCCGTGCATTTTCTTTCTGTTTCCGCAATTGTGAGCATGTGGCACGCTACATCGCAGAAGGCAACTGGTTCAGTGCACAGAGCGCCGTGGAAGGCACAATCTGGAGAAAGTGCCTATCCCAACTTGCAGGTCAACACCAGCTTAAGCTCAACAAGTGGCCGTGGGAGTTGGAACCTGTGCCTTCCTGCAGTCTCAAAGGTTTGGAAGGGTTTCTGAGCTACCAGGGGCAGGACTGCCACGTGAGCCATGATTCGAGTTTCTTCACCGTCCTGGCTGTCGGAGACATGGCGGAGACGTCGAGGTTGATCGACATGCTCTTCGACAGGAGTGTGTCCCGAACCGGCAGTTCCCAGAACGTACCCCTGAAGCTTCAGGTAACACTAGGGCTGGGCGAAATTGGTGGCCGCAAGCGTTCTGTGCAAGTGATTCAGATGATAGGCACTGTCGAAGCAGGCTTCGAGAATGCTGAGATCCTGAAATCGCATATGCTCGAAGATGTGCTGAATGTGGACCGTGTTCTAGTTGCCATAGATGCGCTCCCGCTCACGGAAAGTATGTGTACGCTTTTAAGACTGCTCGGCATCTGCCAGAACGCCATGAACTTCACCTTTGTGCATAGCAAAGCTGCAGACATCACCAGAAGCGTTGCTGACAAGCTTCTGTGGGAATTGCATTGTCAACTTGGTGTCGTTTACACTTCTGCCATCTCCACGCCATCTGTGCGCACATGTCAGCATTTCATGAGCTGCGAGTACTTGAAGCAAGAGGAACGGCCCAGCCGAGTACTGGCTGTGAAGAATGACTTGCCCGAGCCTCGAAGCGCGACGAGGGTGCACCTCCTCGTCCCTGGACTTGCCGTGAATGCAGAAGCATTGTTGGATGCTATATTTTTGCCATGTGACGGTCACTTCTTGTCGAGAGATTGGCGCCTTCGAGTGGACACCACAACTAGCATCTGTCAAATTCAGTGACAACAAAAAACCCGGCGCAAGCTCGGGTGCGCGTCATAGCCACTGCAGGCAGCAGGACGGGGAAACACCGTCTGGATTACTGAAAGCATGAGTGCGTATTTAATGTGCAGGACCTGCAAGACTGTCAGATTGTCTAATCGTTGCACATCAAGCTGCCGGCGTGTGGGCCCAAATGCAGACTCCCGCACCGAAGGATGGCATCAAGCCTAGTCTACAAGCAACAGCTCCAGCATGCAGGATGTCTACTAATGCACCCAAATCCGCAAGCACTGTTGCAGCGTTGCTAGGACTGTTAGGCCCGAGAGGGGATGGCGAAAGGAGGCCCGGTCGGGCTGACAGACCCTCGAACGAGGAGAACTCCTTCTCATTCGCTTCCTGCGCTTCCTCTGCCAGGGCACGCAGCACTCGCAGCCGCAGCACGCAACTGGCACAGGCAAAGCCTCACTGCACCGGCATCTCTCATAGTTGCCACGCCGCTCTCATGCAATGCAGAAGATGCCACGAGCGCACTCATGCCACCGCTTCTGGTCTTGGCTGCGATATTATGGCTTACCATGCTGAGCAGCATAGGGCTGCAGCTGGGCGGCGCTGAGCCTGGCGTTGAATCGACGTATTGGTGGATGGGGGCAGCAGACGGCAAAAGCCTCGGCAAGACCTCAAGAAGCTCAAAAAGGAAGCAGAAGCCAAAAGCGACCTCCGTCGAGCACGAGGTTGACGCAAGGCCTGTGGACTGACGTGGATTCACACCATTAAACACCATTCACACCTGCGCACGAGACAGCAAAACAGACAGGAGCCCATCATACGCAAACACACGGTGCCTGTGTCATGGCTTGACCAGTCTTGGCCGAGGCTGGAACGCAGGTTCTCCCTGAGAGCCGGGTGGTCCTGGCTGGCTTGTGATCTTCGACAGAAGGTGCACCGGCATCGGCTTGTCAGGCTGACCGCGAGGCTTTCGCCATGCTTGAGTCGATGCCGATAGAGCGCGCGGCGCTTACGGCTGAAGCCTACATGGCCTATATCGCATGGCCCACAGATCGAGCGCTTCGTCTAATGTTTTGCTGAGGACAGGGGTCGATGTCTTCAGAGGCTGATGCAGTCAGATAACGCATGAAACAACCTGGCATTTTTGGGTGTTCGGCTGGCGGCTAGCGGCTGACAGCTGAGCGTGACATGTTTGCGCTGGCACTGCTCCAGTTCTGCAGGAATGGAACAACCGCATCGTCTCGTCATCGGCCCGATCCTGGATCCCGGCAGGCCGCTGGGAACTGAACAGCTAGACTCGGAGTCACAGCCTGTCCGCTCCAGGCTTGCACGCATCTTCGGCTCAGTCAGGCAAAGGCACAATAAGCCACACACGGTGCGAAAATCCGTCTTGACGTTCCAGAATCTAAGAAGCCCTTACCCGGACAGCGAAGACTCAAAGAACAGAGAAAGGCGAGGGGGCAGTTGTCACTGGCGTAATGGGAAGGGCCAAGCGGGATGGACATCCCCCCAGGCCCCTGGCATGGTGTCTTGGCGTCCTCTGCTGTGCAGTCTTGGCGGCCTCGCCGGCGTCGCGTCCGCTGTCCATTGAGCAGAAGCTTCTGCTGATCGCGTGGCCAGCAAGCTGCGCATGGCAGCTGTGTGACCGAGCAGGCAAGGACCAAGAGAAAGTGACCACACCATGGCCTGCAAAGCTGCTTCAGCTCATGACCGCTTTCAGTGGGGCCAGCTTCTGCGCGAAGCTCGTGAAAGATTGGGAGGCCTCAGCAACTGCAGTCCTGCCGTGTGCTTCGCTGCTGTCATTGGCGCACATGACTTTGCCGTCGCTGGAGCTACCGCTGGGCGACTTCATTCCGTGGTGGTCCTTGCTGGTGCTTGGGATGATTGCTACGTTTGGGTCCAGCGACATGCGTGCGGAGGCCGGGCTCTCATTGGGACGCATGGATGGAGCACCCCTGCTTTGGTCTGCAATTTGCGTAGCAATCTCCACTGTGGCTCTGGTGGGCTGGTCCAAAATCTGGGTGCGTGGCAACCACGGCCCTATCCAGGATGCTTTGGCGCCGCTGATGTCTCCGGTGTCTGTGCTGCCCCTAGCGGTGGTCAATGCCTTTCGCGAGCCTGTGCATTCTCGAGCTAGTAATATGTAGTAATCCTATAGGCGGGGCGTTGGAAGCAGAAATCTTGTTGTATGCTTTACTGTAGCCCAGCTGAGGAGGAACTTCAATTCCGAATGATGTTTCTGGGAGCGGTGCTGGCAGGGGACGCCTCCGACTCGAAACTTCTCACGACGATCTCCGTCGCATTGCATTCCACATTCTTCGCTTTGCTGCACTACCTGGGAGGATTCCCTCGAGGTTTGAGTGGCTTTGTGCTTGTTCTTGTCTGGAGCAGTTTCCTGGACATCCTACGCATCTGGAGTGGTGGAATGGCGCTGGTGTTCTTATTGCATGTGCAGGCAGACGTTACCATTTTCTTGCTCGTCCATGTTGAGGACAGGCGACGGCGGCGCCTCAACCAGACGGACTGATGCCGGTGCCCAAATCTGAGCCAGTGAGGCTCAGGGCTTCAACGTCACGGAGGTGCTCGGAGAGCAGAGGTGAGCAGTCAAGCGAAGGCCTACCGTCGGACAGAAGCTTTCGCAGCTCACAGGCTATCCTGCTTCATCCGGAGCGCGCCCCTCTGCCACTGCCTTTTGCGATGCCCAGAAAACCGGGGGCCATGTCCATGAGCTGTTGTCACTGCAACCTCGCACGAAGCGCAGGTTGGAAGCAGGCCCTGGTGCAGACACCAACAGGGTGGGCGTGGAGGCCCAGGAAAATTTGCTGGTGTGTGACGAAACACTCGCGAAGATTCACCAAGAGTTGCAGCTTGTCATTGCTCCCCATGCACGGTCTCTTGTTCATTGTGTGAATTTGCCTAGGCAGTGCTGCTGAAAGGCAGTACATGGGAGTCCGATGCAGCAGAAGGCGCAGGTGTGGAACCGAGATTCGGGAACTTTGTCGAACATCTGCACCAGCCTCAAAGCTGTCCTGCAGTAGCGCTCCAAAAAAATAGACGGATCCTAGACTAGACCGGTCGCACGTGATAACGTGTACCTCACCTGGCTCCAAGCTGGGAGCAGGCACGCCACATCCTGGAGCTTTACATCGCTCACCTGAGAAGGCCGGGTTACGAACATGCGGCCGTGTCTCTGGCCTCGGATACTTGTAGCGTCTTTGCTGCGCAGTTGAAGGTTTTTCTGCGTGTCATTCGTCCGCTTTGCCGGCCCGAGTTTGCCCTGCACGGCAGACTTCGTCTCCAGTTATGCATCGGGCGCATATGACGGGATGTGGGTCTCCCTCATCAAGCCACCGAGTTGGGCGGAGTTAAGCCGAGTGACAAAGCACACTCGAACCATCAAAGGAGCGCCGTGCAACATCTGCCCGAAGGCACCTGACAGCACAAGCTGCAGTTCGTGCTTCATCCATGCCTCGATCCCGTCCGAGGCAGAGTGCTGCACGTGCACGGCGGTTTTCAGACTCTCCGTGCCGGCAAAGTCACGGCCCACCTTTGGGCTGCATGGGCCTCCATCGCCGTATTGGCATCATACAAATCCAGAAAGACAAGCTGAAAGACTTGGCAAGCCAGCAGCGTGCGGAACTGGGACGATTGGAACAGGAGTGCAGCAAGCTCCGGGCGAAGAGGAATATTGAACAAGCCAGTCTCGACCTTCAGTCCTACTCTAGGAGTTGTATAGAGGACTTGACACTTGCAGAGTTGCAGCAGCTTGACTGCAGCAGTGGGTCCACGGACGCCGGCCTTGCTTAGTTATTTGGAAAGCCCCTGGGGATGTTGTATTTTAGCTTTACAGAGGCGAGCCCCCCAGGGCCACCAACTGGGTGTAATGATCATCGAAGAACACTCAAAACAATTCAGATCCTGCCATCATCCCAGAAAAAAACATGTTTTTGGCGCTTGTGTTGGCTGTGCTCCGAAATGTGGCATGCACTGGAAAGTGCGGCAGTCTGAAGCATTCCCAGGGCTTGCCAAGTTTCTTGTCTCTGTGCAAAAAACTACTTCGCAAGTCGTTGCGCCTGAGGCCAGTCTTTTCGTCTCGCCGCAAAATTTTAAAAGCTGCCATCGAACATCCAGACCTACATAGCACTTCCAATTTGCCAATACGTCGTACTTCAAACTTCAATCGTTTCAACAAAGAAAGGCATGACTTCGAACACTGTGACTGCCCTACTGGCCCCAGGCGTCGACCGAGTTGCTTGCTTTTGTCTCTAAAGGAGTATTTAGTGAAGGCTGCTCTTGCTTTTGCAGGAAAAACCTCGGCATAGAAAGTCTCAGCTGTGGCTCTCCTAGAGGGTAGCACGAGGGGTGTGCCCAAGCTGGGATGGGGTTTGCCGAGGCAATGCCAAGAGCAGCGCAGGCGACTTCAGGCGGAACTCGACTCCTTCCGGGCTGCTCCAGACCGGCTTCGAAGTAGCCGCCAGGCTGACGCACAGCACGTGACTGCCCGGGAAGCATGGTTGGCGGAGCAGCGAAGGCTGAAGGAAGATCTGACAAATGCTTCTGCCCATGTGGCCTCTCTGGAGCAAGAGCTGGAGAAAGGAAGAGAGAAAGACACTTTCGATCGTTTGGCCAGTGTCGAGCGGAGCCGGCAGCTGCGAGAGCAAGTCGCCGAGCAGCGGCAGCTTTGCAGAGCGGCGCAGCAAGCCCTCAGAGCTGCAGAGACTGATCTGGCCGCTGCGCAAGCTCAAAGGCGGACACCACGTCAGACGGCCATGCCGGATGTGGGTCGTGTTGCCGAACTGAAGGCACGTGTGTGTACGTATATGTCTCCTAATTATCGGCTAG